TAGGCTTACAAACTGTACGAGCATTCACACAAACGCACGCAGGATACACAGTTAGACAAATGTGACTCATGTCTCTAAGGTCACTTCCATAAACATGACGGTTAATAGAATTAAAAGGGACAGCCAACACACAGGGATGTTTCATCTGAGTGATTAAGGACTTGAGACTTCATTTAATTCCAAATCACTGCATCTAAATGTGTGGATGTGTACATCAGAATTCACATGAAGTTCCTTAAAGCAGAGACTTTAACAGAAACTTTCTTAAAAATACGCAAATTGGAGGTTCTTCCACTCCAGTCTTGGTTCATAATCATAAAGTTATCAATCACCAAACACTCCGTTGGTCAAATATGTGCATGTATTTTAAGCTTTCTAAACATAGAACTGGAATTTAATTTTATAGGAGAAAAATAAGTGACTACTGCTGCCGCCGTCATTGTTTATACGCTTGTTTCATTCCAAAAGGTAAAGGTCAATACTTCCATCTGTAGAGATAGTTAGCTAGCATCTAAATATGGCAAAGATTCAGTCCTCCGTTTAAAGTGATGGTTTAGCAGAGAACACGATTCCATTTGAGTGTTCAACTCTGGCCCCACAGCAATATATAATAGTACTGTGTAAAACGGCTATGATAAGTCTGAACATCTCCTTTGAAAAAAGTATTTAAGATTATTTTTCTTCTTTTCTTTTGATGTTAACACCACTAGGGGTCACCAGAATTAAAATGTTTTAACCGAGTAGGACAAAATGTAGATTACAAGTGCTATAAAGTATAGAACAGCAATGAATACCCTTTTCTGTCCATGTATGAGCTGAAATACAAAAACTCTATGTTAAAAAAGAGCTCTATCACAATCACTGGGGATGCTTATTTATATTTTCGATTAAAGAGCGTGTTATGTGAATGGTAATCATGGTAGTTTTTACCTGAAGGAATTCGGGCTTTGATGATTGTCATTTTAAATATAAAATAACTCTAAAGAGTATCTTGTTGAGTTTCAAAGTTACATAGGACATGTATGTTTTGTTTTGTGGTCAAATTCCTTTTAAATCCAGGGCAAAAAATGTTTCCTGTGCTGTTTTGTGAACTTTATAAATAATAAAAAAAAACACATTTATTTTGGGAAATAATTATGACGCAGTCATGTTAAGTCACTGCAACGGAACTGGTTAGATATTTACTTTTAGATATAGATTTAGCCTTTAGATTTAGTTTCAGCATAAAAAAAAACATTTTTCTGAAACATGACTACCATCCTTTTCAATTAGATTAGACAGAAAGCGGGCGGTATTTTTATAATAATAGAGTATATGCTGGAATATGGATAAAGCAACATCCACACACGTTTAGAAAGTATCAACACTCCCAATGAAGCAAAGATACAAGCAATTATGAAAATATCAGGTAACACCAGACCAGTGTGATCCCTTTTTAACTGTTGTTTATATATCCTGTCCATTGGATTTTATTTAGTTTTTTGCCCTAGTCTCAAACAAAGGCTCAAATATTCTTTTCAGCCCTTCGCACAAAACACATTCATCGATTTTTCAATCAAACAGGTAAGGAGGACACTGTGATGCATCTGATCCTGAGCTTGCCACCTTATCTGAAACCCGAAGGTCTTCGAATGTAAACCTCTTTTGTTTGAAACTTTCTATTATGTATACATACATCAATCCCTCCTTAACCCAAGGCTATGAATTCCTCAGACAGTATTGAATAAACTCTGATTCATTAACAGACTGAGGGACCTGCACACACCCAAGATTATCAGAAACCTGAGGAGAAACAGTCGCCCTTTAAGCCGGGTTCTGGCACAATGCCAGTGATAAGCAGCCTTGTACTGATATCTAATATGTTTGCAGATAGACTTTTCTGGGTTAAGATGTTTCAGATTAAACACTTGGTTGGTCTATATTGGTATAAGTACCAAATAAAAGCCTTACGCTCAAAATCATGGCCCTGTGACCTATTTATGTAATCCACTGGTTCATCCACTGGTTTATTAACCTGATAGATCTGCTTAACCAGTGGGCAAGTAGCATGTAAAGATGTGTTTAGTTTAAAGACTTTTAACAGATTGTGACATTGTATATCATATTTATTTGTAGAGTAACTGATCCACATCTGGCAGCCGAATTTTTCTTCTTAAATATGGCTATAGTCAATCAAATGGACATGCCCAAAGTGCAAACACTTCAAAATGTTCAGTATCGGTGTGCAAGAGCACTTTGGATCGGACCTGAGTGAGAGCAGGAGAAACAAAACGTGCATCCATGGGTATTGTCGATCCATTTCCCCCCTGAAACGCGCCGGTGTGATGCCTCCACCCGTCTAACGGCTGCAGGCTCACTAACCATATCATGAGTTTATAATAACCACATCACAGCCATGGCGAATGAGGTGGAATGAAAATCTAACCTAATTTGGAGAGATACACGGCTGTGTAAGTAGTAGGGTGTCCCCTGAGATTGGGGCTCCGACTGAGGGGAGCCGCGCGGCGTGCCGGTAGCATGCTCTGTGAGCGTGTAATGGCCCTAATTACCATTTAGCATGCCAGCCTCGTTGACGACACATCGAGCCGGTGATAAAATAGTGGAGCGAGAGGTGACCGAGGGTGAGCAGTGTGATCATATGAGAGCTGACAGACACAAGGAAAAAGCAGAATGGTGAAAGATTAGTTGGTGAACTTACACAGAAACAGACCCATAGGTGCAAGTTAGATAATGCCAACACACACACATGCGGGCGGGCTGGTATGGTGTATCTAACCCAGATGAGTGACATCTTTCTCTCTGAATTAGCTACGATGAGTGATGTGTAACCAGCCGTGATTCGTACTGGCTGGGGAGATGGCTAATTCACTTTGTTTAATTAGTCAAAAGTATTAGAGCATAGAACGGTTCTCTCTCCTCAGTCGTGCACTTCCCCTTGCTTTGCATCCACCCACGTGCATGCTCGTGGCAAAGACAGACCTGTAATCACACCGGGGTAGCACTTCCAAGAAGACGAGTCTTTGAATCTTATCTGCCAGAATAAACGAACTGACTCTTCCTCTTTCTTCTCTCTCTCTCTCTCTCTCTCACACACACACACGCAGGCGACACTTGACTTTGACACCCTGTCAGACGTCTTCGGCAGCATTTAAGGACGGCAGAGTGGGAAAGGTGTGCTGGAACTAGGCTGGAACTTGAGGTTTCTGCAAACAGGACAGAGGACGTGCTGATTCCTGTGGTACAATATCCATCTACAGCAGGTACAGTGAAGGAATGTTATCCCTCTGTGTCTTTTTTTTTTTAGATCTGGGGAGCCCTTGCTTATGTTTCAAAGTATGACTGAGAAGGTCAGAGATCAAGAGGTTTTCAGACTATTATTTCATGTCATGATTTTCTACTAGAGAGTGATGTAGGGATCTTCTTCAAATGTACACACAAGTTGAGTCCTATTGTGCAGTGCAGTTCAATACAATTAGTATAATCAATCAGAGTGGATATACATAATACACTGGATCCATTAAAGAATGCAAGCACAACTTTACGACATTATATTAAAGAAGTAGATATTAAGCAAAAGTATTTAAAAATATGTTGTTTCATAATTTCTGTACAACCCAGTTTCTGTGTAGTTAGACAGTCTTGGCTGCTTGGAGACGAAATTCGTATTTTTTTTTAACATTGTAAACACGAACCATGGACATCAGCGTTCAAAAGTTAATATGAATCAACCACAGCCACCTTGTCCTGCTCCACTTTGTTACCATGGATAGCTCTAACACCCTAAAGACAGTAATAAGTGCGTGCACAGCATGCGGCAGAACATAATAAATAGATTTATGCGCAATTGTCACATTTAATACATTTACGGAGCGCGCTGGTGAATTCATTATTACGCCATATGGTAATGCATCTGGGTCTGTGTATATCCGAAACACTGTGTGTGTGCCTGTGTGTGTGTGTGATGGACTGAGAGGGATGGGTGGGGGTCTCTCTCTCCCTCTCTCTTCCCCGCGTGCGCACAGCGCTTTGAAGTGTAACCAACAACTGCTGTCCCGGAGTCAACGGTGAAGCCTATTGGCAGGAGATTCACTCCGCGCATTGTTCTCTCCGAGGCTCGATCCACGGATGCAGCATGTCCCGGCGTTCCGGGCAGACGATGGGGAGGTCGCTCTGAACTTATGCTTAGGTCAGGCAATCGTTCCGGCGTAAAGCGAAGCGCATCGGGGAACGAGGAAGGAAAAGTCCTCATTCAGTAAGCCGGAGCCAGCCGTCATAATAAAGAAGGAGACGGACCCACGCGTGTAAACAGCAGGACGCCGACCAGGGGATCGGCTCCTCAGCTGGAGATCAGATGAGAGGAGAACAAAAAACACATGGATGCGTTCGCCGCGCGTAGAGCTGGGCTGCTGATGCGTGATAGCATGTCGGGGCGTGCACAAACAGGTTGGTTTTCGCGTCGATAGAAAACTTAACCGGAGCCAGACGCGGGACTATACGTTTCGAGCTCCACGAAATGAGCCCAACTGTCTCTGTGGGCGGCGTGCATGCTGAGGACAGCTGTCTTATTACCGGAGACTGACGCGGTATAGCTTTCACTGGACATGATCTGGATTTAGGGTTATCCTCATCGTGGCATCTGGATGAAGGTCAGACATATTAACGAGGCGGATATTTTTCAGATCTAATTATTTGTTGGTGTAAAATTGCACTTTCCAATTCAGACTTTTGTTGAAAACAGAAGTGGAATGACTTTCTTTTAGGCTTTCTGGACACCTGATGGGCAACAGAATATACCGTTGTGTGCATGGATACTTGATCATTTTAAGCATAATGATGAAATAACATCGTATTTCATGTGCCAGAAGTTACTTTGAAATATAAATCTTTTTTTTACAAAGGCATTTGATCATCTCATTCAGAGCTGATCAACACAGAAAACCGTCCTACTGTGGGAATTCTACCCTGTCTGACTATTGATCTAATATATCTCTATCTATATTAGTGTGAGACCACAGATGGATCCTCAATGTAATGAAATCAATAAAACAGAGGGCCGTGATCCAGCATCCGACCATCGACCCCCTCCCGTAAAGCTGGCCCGACTGGAACAACATGAGATGGGGCCCTCGACTCCGGAGAGGAGCAGACAGGGGAGTCCCGTGGCCAAAAACCTCGGCCTGACCCAGAAACCCACCGCGGCAAGGCCACAAGGCAAGAGCTGGCATACGAAAGGTACACGGGTCTGTGTGTTCGCAGAATATGAGCCAAGGATCTGGCTTTTTCCTAACAACAGACTAAATATACTCGATTGTGATTGCAGTTCCTTGCTGTCTGATTAAGGGAGATGTCCCATTATAATTGTACACTAAATTCCAGTCTGATTTGGTGGAATCCGACCATGGTACTTTATTCTGACTAAAATGACATCTGACATGATAATACAAGTCATAATTAGTCTGTAGGCTGATGAAGTACTAATGATTGCATTCCTTAATTGAATGTTTGCCTGTCATTCCAGGAAGCCTGCTACCCGTCTTCTGTGTGGTAGAGCCCAGAGAAAGTCCTTTGGAGATGGAAAGAAGAGAAGAACATGCTGAGTTTGTGCTGGTCAAGAGGGATCTGCTGTTTAATCAGCTGATAGAAATGGCCCTACTGACACTGGGGTATTCTCACAGCTCTGCAGCACAGGCTAAAGGTATAAAAAAAAACAATGCACGGAAACTAGAGGTGAAATTGAACATCTTCAGATGTGTTCCATTCTGGTCGTGTGTCTTTCAGGTCTGATCCAGGTAGGCAGGTGGAATCCTGTGCCTCTGTCCTGTGTAACAGACGCTCCAGATGCAACAGTTGCTGACATGCTGCAGGATGTTCACCACGTGGTCACCCTTAAAATCCAGCTGCACAGGTAAATACCACATAGTGTGTATATATATATATATATATATATATATATATATATATATGTATATATAAAAACCATAGATTATAGTGTACTTTCGTTTTGCACTCTCTTGAATTTTACGTTATATTTGTTCTTTGTAGCAGAAAAAGCCAGTTAGCATACCTCTTTTCTTCAGAAGACATAAATTAAAAGCAGAAGACACACAGGTTTTTAGATTAATAATAGCAGCATTTATGTGCACAATGCCTGTGTAGTGACAGTGATCTAGTGTGAAGAATACCAGGACCCTGAAAAACAAACAAACATTTGTTACACTACCCAACATCCCCAGTGACCTTGCTGCGGAAAAGATTGAGTCGCTGAGAAATGCATGAGCTTTCTTGTCTTTATTTGCACCTGTGAAGATGTGGCTGCCGGAGTTATATACTGATCCTGGACAACCAGTTTTGAGGGCCGCAGGTGATTAAGAAAATAAGGACTTAATTCAGAATCTGTCATTTCTAACAATAATATAACTACAATGTCTTTTTATTCTAAAATGAGATTTCATCGTACGACCCAGAATTTCTGGAAAACTGTGTGTTATTACATTTATGAATGAGACAATGCATGCAGGTCTACTCTTTATATTATTTAGGTCTAGAATTAAAAATTGAACAGACATGCCGAGTTGTTTCTTGGACTGGATCCTGGAATTCTTACAAACGCAGCAAGTAAATAGAGTTGGCAAAAGGAAGAATGGATGTAATGATTGTAGGTTTTCTGCCAAGGTTAAAAGGTTTTTGTGAAAATAATAGCATAGTCTTTTATACTTCTGTGATACAAGCTTTATGAAGTCTTATCTAATAATCCCGTCAGGATCTTAGAAATAATCTCACAGAGCCACAATGCCAGATGTCCTAAACCATATGAAGATGGAACGCTGTTACGCTCGAATATGCCTTTGAAATGTAAATAAACTACATTTGAGTCTTTTTCTTTTTAATATACCCAGCTATCCCAAATTAGAAGATTTGCCAGCAGAGCAGTGGAGTCATTCCACAGTGAGAAATGCTCTAAAGGAGCTCCTCAAGGACATGAACCAGAGCTCTCTGGCCAAGGAATGTCCACTATCACAGGTACAGCACACACATAGAGCAAGCATACGAAAAATTAAAAAAAAGAAAGAAAACAATTGGCCTTTCAAGTCTTGTATGTCTAAGCATGTGTGTGCGTGTCTGTGTGTGTGTCTCTGTGCAAGCATGTGGCCCAATAGAAATACAGGAAGTCCTGATGCTGGGGTAGATATGCTGTGGGGGTAGAACGCCGAGAAGAAGATAAAAAGAGATCGCTATCTCTTAAAAAGCCCCACTGCCTCGCTCGCTGCGCCTGTCGAACTAAAGCCCGTCTACCTGTCTGTCCTTCGGCCTGGCCAGCTACGCCTGTCTGTCTCACACTATATGCATCGTATTCATCTTTGTCTGCTGGTTTTAGCAGTGCGTGCATTCAGTCTGCCAATGACACAACAGACACAATCATTTCATTCATCATGCAAAGATTGGGAGAAGTCTCCAAATAAATATTCATGATCATCAGCTTAGTCCATGTGCTATTCTGCCTGAAGGAGCCGAGGACATTAACAGTTTGGAGAACAGAAAATGCACATTGCCTCTCCTTAAAATTCATACATTCTCTGCTTTGTTAATGTGATCCAAGCTGGTCCTTCCTCCCCTATCGCTCTTATCAGTCCCTTAACACCCCCCTCCCACCTCTCTTGTTTGTGGGAAGCAGATTAAAATAAATATGAGAAGATGAAAGGTGTAATCAGATGTAAAGATTGCACAGGATGGTCTTCAGGGAAAAAAAATAAATGTATGAGTGTGTGTGTTTGTCAGTGAGTGAGAGACAGGCAAACTCTCTGATGACCTCTGGTGTTTGATTACACACACACACACACGCGTTTGCGCACACACACACGCATGCATGCACACAGTTCACACACTGACACACCCATCTGTCTTTATTATCCTATTTACCTGGGGGTCTTTTTAATAACACAGATCTGAGTTCATTAATATCAGATGTGTGAACAGCTGAGACACCCAGGCCGCCCATAGCAGGCGCACGGAAAATGTAATGAATTTCTATTGTCTTTCCCCCTCTGTTTCAGAGCATGATATCATCTATTGTAAATAGCACTTACTATGCAAATGTCTCAGCCGCCAAGTGTCACGAGTTTGGTCGATGGTACAAGCACTTCAAGAGGTCCAAGTGCTTCAAGGGTGAGAGATTTTAATCACTTATGTAATCATCAAATGTGCATTTCACATTTTTACTGCCCAAATGTCCCAAATCAATTATTTGCGTTAGCTCTGCTTAAGATTATGTAACATTCTCTTCCATCACATTTATAATACAAGAGCATAAACACATGCTTTTTATTTGATCAGATTATAGTACAGAAACAGTGACTAGAGAAAGTAAACCAACCGCCTGGATTGACCTGTATTAATTCAGGAATTTGGTCAGATTCTGTTCCAAGTTAGAACTATGAACAAATGTATTATATCCTATTTAATGTTAAAACTGACTTTATAGCTCTTGTCTGTCAAACATGCAATCCAAGCATCCACATGTCAGTAAATCTAAGTACGGTCATGTTTAATGATATAATAAAAAAATGATGACACGTGTTAGAGGGCACCAAACCTGCAGGTCAGTCAATAAAAAAAAATTGGAGGAGTGTGTTAGAACCACGTCGACAAATAAAAAACAGTCACGCGTTTTAAATTTGTTAGTCACATTAAGCGTCTGCTGATATGAACCATGCCTCACAAATCAAATGTATCACCTGGATGGAGTTACAAAGTTAAAAATGGTCATTTGTGCTTACGCAAAAATTTTATCTTGTATGAGTTTTTACAGAAAAAGTAGAGAAGTTTGGTGCTAGAGCTTGGACAACCTGAGAGATATGAGAAAACTTTAAGAAGGCCAAATCATAACACATTTTTGGGGGGGTTTGTTTACAATATCATTAGGGAAGGCAACGTTTCAAAGATAAATAGCAACGCTAAATTAGCTGACCTTATCCCAGCAATCAGCAGTGACGGGTTTCTCTGTGCAGCTGCTTAGCATTCTCAATATTACAATAACTGATGCCTACGGAAGCTATCACAGGATAGAGAAGCATTTTTATTTTATGGCAAGAACATCCCTCTCTGTGCTGGTGGCTCAATCATGCTTTGGACCTGAGTTTGGCCACTGGCATGGCCACTGATTGAAGAACGGATTCCATTGTTGATTAAGTCATTCTGAAGTTAAATATGCAGATTGTAACACAGCTGCAGACAAAAAGAATAATCTAAAAAATCAATGATCCAAAGTAAATGTAAAAATGCGTAAACTTAATTGCAAATCTGGATTTAGACCTTAAAGAGCAGCACGTGCAAGATGATCAAAGCCTAAAATTGCCAAAAAACTTCCCAAAAAAGAACTGCAAGGAACTTTGTTGACTTTGTTGCTGTTATACTGCCATAAATACCGAGAATGCACATTACGCCACATTTACTACTCTCTTTTTTTGTGTAAAAGATGTCTGTACAAAAGTAGCCTTGGAAAAAAACACCATTAAAGATGTGATCATTAAGGCATGCATCATAGTTTTACAGAGGAGGCTTTAGGTCTTCCATTTTGGCAGTGCTGAACACTACTATTAAGATGTCTTCTAGAGACATTAGACTACGGCTAAATGGTTCGGGCAGAACATTGGCACCGTGGCAAAAGGCTACTGTGTTCAAACGGCACTGTATATCAACATGGAAGCATAAACCCAAATGCACATAGGAGAGTGCATCATGACGGATGATGGACAGCTTGTTAGCGTCAAAACAATTAAAATCCCCCATGTTCATGGGTATATTTTACAGGATAACACGAAAGTATCTCACTCCATGCTGCTCAGTAGAACTGATTCTAGCAGAAAGTTAGTGACCTCTGATCTTTCAGAATAGCTTCATAGTGCTGGACTTCACTAGAGAGAGATGTTTAGCACAGCTTGTGAGCTTAAGAACTTTATACTTTTCTGTACTTGCGACTTAGTTGAAAAGAGATTTCATGAGAATTTACAATAAAATAGAGGTTATTCTAAAGAGTTTTTATGATGTATTTTGCCACAACACAGTTGATATTAATCACTGTAATTTCACAGCAAGGCTGCTGGTGGAACAAAGAGACAGAGCAATGTTATTCTTTGAACTTTAATTTTTCCAAGGTTTTTCAGATGTTTACCCATCAGTTTATTTAAATTTCTTCAGGAATAAGTTAGTTTGTGGTTATGCTATTGGGGGAAAGTGTCCAAGTCCAGAAAATAAAGCATATGATTTAAGCATTCATTTAAAAAAAATTCAAATTTAATATTACAATTCAAATATTAAAATATTATCAGGAGTTCATTTGTTTTCTTTCCTTCTCCTTCACCAGAGAATGACCGCTTTTCGGAGCAGCCCCCGCACATCACCCTCACCCAGCAGCCGGTCACAAGTAACCCCCCTGATCAGCCCTCAGCGCTTCTTTTCCCTTGCCCCGCCGTCTCCAGCATTTGCAGCCGCTCGGCCCCCCTCGGTCTGCACGCCCCGGGTCTGGTCGCCCAGCCTCTCGGCCCCCAAATGGTCAACCAGCAGCTGGTGATGGCCCAGTTTCTCAACCAGCAGTACGCCGTTAGCCGCATGCTAGCCGGCCAGGGCCTGGCCTCCTCGCCCCAGCAGTATCTCAACCACCCCCCGGTGGGGAGAGCCCCCGCCAAGCTGTTCTCCAAAGCCCCCGATCCGCCGCCCCTACAGCAGCAGCAGGCGCAGGGTGGACAGGGGGGACAGGGGGGACAGGGGGGAGGCCTGCAGAACCAGACGGCGGCCGGGCCTTCTTCTGTGGGACCGACCGACGTGCCAAGTGACATTTACCAGTGTGTGAGGGAGGAGCTAAAGCGAGCGGGCATCTCCCAGGCCATCTTCGCCCGCGTGGCCTTTAACAGGACCCAGGTACGGTGAACAGAACGGGCCTGCGTCAAAATTTCCGAACGGTTTGACGGTTATTTGCATTCGTGTTTTCCGGTGTTTTCTGGTTGTCGGTACGTGCCGGGGGTTGGCACGCTTGGCGTGGCCCTGTGCCGCAGTGCCCCCCCCCCCCCAACCCCCTCCCCTCCCCTCGTGCATGTTTGTTAGTGTGTTTGAGTTTGTGTGCGCGCGTGTTTGTGCCAGCTCTCTGCAGCACAAAGCTGGTGCCAGCACTGAAGCAGCTGCTAGGCCAACTAATCACAACCCCTTGGAGAAATGCTGTCTCGCTCTACCTCTTGCTCTATCTGACTGTCCTTCCATCTTGCCACCTCTGGCAACCTCTCTTCTCATTTAATCTCCAACTCCCATGGTCGCTTCATCTTTTTTCGTCTTCCCCTTTCTTTCTCCATTAGTCTTTCTTTCTCCCTTTGTATCCATATCTCTCGTTCCTATTGCGTCTGACACTAAAGAGCTATATTATCTCCGTCTCCGTCATCTTGTTTTCCACACTGCATTGACAGAAATAGGGCTCAAAGGACGGGCTGAGCTCTTTCTTATAATTATATTATTATTAGTATCATTATCATTTTCATCACAATAAGCCGAGTTGGTTATTATCCACCCCCATCTATCCCTGTTGGCAAGTCCAAGGTGCTCTGGTGCCAGCCGTACAAGTTGGGCACGATGCCAGCACATCATCCAGAAGTGAAAGACGCATTTGTCATTTGACAATTCATACAAAGCCTACATGCATTTGGAATGCGGGGTTTGCTGAGGGAATCCAATGGTGATCCATGATTTGAATAAGAAGGATGGTTCCTCATCTTCTATTTCCCCGCTTGCATGAAATCTGATTTCGGGTTGGGAAGGAAGCCCTGGATTTTTGCATATGGGGTGCGAATGCTTAACCGAACGGATACAGCACGCTTACTTCTGACTTTCAACCATCTTTGAAACCCTAAACAAGCAAGATTTTGTCGTGATGCCTCTTTGATTGGGATCCAGAGTCGGATATGGAGAGCGTTTATGAAATTCTTCTAAGCACATAAGAGGTTGACATCACAAACACAATGAAAGAGTTGGGATGTTTGGTGAAACGTGTATCCCATGTGTGTTGAGAGGCAGCATGCCTTAGATTTGGAAATGTAAACTCTAAGAAACCAAAGAACAGAAAACGCGTGGTTTTAAACTTGACTAAAATGGGTGTTTTCTTTGCTTTGAAGAAATGGTGTAGCATAAAGACAGATGATAAAGCTTAGCACTACAGTTAGCATTACGACTGAAAACTGGCTTAAACTAAAGTTAAAGCTGTATTAAAGCAAAATCCAGTACTCTTGGTTTTGTGAGGTGGTATTTTCTTACAATGAGTGTCTAAATGGGTCTGAGATACACATGTACCGTTGTACGTTGTACGAACCAATGAGGATTGACTTTTTGTGTATTTACCAGGGTCTCCTCTCAGAGATCTTACGGAAGGAAGAGGATCCGAAACATGCCTCCCAGTCTCTGCTGGTCAACCTGCGGGCGATGCACAGCTTCCTACAGCTGCCCGAGGCTGAGAGGGAGCGTGTGTACCAGGAGGAGAAGGAGAGGAGTCTGACCGGCTTCACACCCAGCTGCAACAACACACCACCCAGATCAACACAGGTCAGCCGGCAGAGCCGCCCAATACATTTTTATCTCAGAGTGAAGACACAAAGCAGGACTCCCCGCTGTAGAACGTTATTAAAAATCACGCTCCTATGTTGACTTTTTTTCCGCTTTACTTTGTCTACTTGATCTTCCACTTCCTCTAATTGCACAACACACAACCAAGCGCCTCCTTTTTCAATGGCAACCAGTGTCCCCTTTGTGAAGTGAACAAGTGTAATTTTGCTCACACAGACACGAGCAACATGAGGAGACACGCGAGGAGACCTTTTGTCGCGGCTATTATTTTCTCCACGGTTTGTTCTATAAAAGCCCTTTATAACAACCAAAAAGAGGAACTTTCCAAAGACCCCATTCCATCTCAGAAGTGTGTATAAACTTTAAAACCATACAGCATAATAGTAAAAGAACAGCTTTTGGGCTACCAGCATAAATGCAGATTCTTTCTTCATCTCTTTTTTGGTTCTCGATCATCTGAAACCTAAATGAAATAATGTTTCAGTATATATTATTTAGATATTCCAAAACAACAAAAAAGATCATGAGAACTTTTTTTTTTTTTTACGCAAAGGGGTCGTTATTTCCTTATTGCCCTGCATCAAGTGTTGCTTCCTTTCGAAATATATTCTTTATTTTCTGATTGCACCCCCCCCTCTCTCCCCCCCAAGGGTTGAATAAAAGAAATCATGTCTGAGAATTTAGTTTGTGCTCTGTTTTTGGATTCATTCCAGTGCCTTTTACTTGATGTAGCAAGAACCTAAACCAGAATCTTTTTTTTTTTTTTAACTTTTCCTGTCTGTGACTTTTCAGGCAAGACTCTCCCCAGTGGCATCTGACAGAGGTTTGAAGACAGACAGCTGTGTTCTCAATGTCAGCTCCTCCATCTACGAGGAGATTCAGCACGAGATGAAAAGAGCCAAGGTGTCTCAGGCTCTGTTTGCTAAGGTTGCCGCCTCCAAGAGTCAGGTACTGATGTTTTTTTTAGTATACAGTAAATCAGTAAAGACGTCTCATTCCTAATTTGGACTTATTGCACCCGTTCGAGTTTTTTTTTTTGGGGTTGGCTAAATGTTTAAATTTATCAATTTGGATGAGGGAGACAGCTATTGTGCGTGTGGAGAAAAACCCAGATAATCAACCAGCAGCTGCACGCTGCAGAGGACTATCATCAGTGCATCAGACGGCTATTGTGCGCTAAATTATTGCTTTAATAGTCGCCATGCACACTGCTTACTTATGCAAACAGACTTACTGTATGAGTGCAATACACACAATCACTCCAGCACACACGGATGCACAAATCCAGATACACAAACTCGCACATACAAGCATGATTTGAGTGTTTATTGTTCTCATTTTTATAGCGGCCCCATAAGCTTGTTATTGCCTTTTGTTTTGAGGATAATTTCCCTTCATGGGATGGGGAGATTTTAGCTGTCTCGTTTTCTCCGTCTTTTCCGCATATCTGCAAATTTTACCTTCTATCTTTCTTTCTTGTTTTCTTTCTTTCTCTTTCTTTTTTTTTTTTGTCAGCCTTCACGTAAACATTCAGAGGTCACTCGGTGGTCACGCCAGTATAAACAGGTGGTCCAAAACCCCTGAGGTTCTCTATCTGTTTCTCCACTGGCCTTTATTCTCCCTCACTTCCTCTAGCTTCTCTTTACCCTTCTCTGTCTCACTCCATCTCTCCCTCTATTTTCCCCTTGCTCTATTACCCAGTTATTTGGCAGGCAGAACCTCGCTGGATCTCTCTGTTCTATCTGCACTGTGCATCTGGATGGCATTGTGTGCTAAACTTGGGCTTCAGCCAGGTGTATGTGTGTCTATTTGTGTGTGTGTGTAAGCACATCAGCCTGCTTGCAATCATGTTGCGGTTTATGAATCTAGCTTGGCTTTAAGTTCCTCAATCTGCCACTCACAAGTTTGTTCTCCAGTGATGCCGAAACAGTTTAAGATAAGAAAATCTAATGAGATTAGCCCGTGTGGCATCCTCAGATTGACCTTGTTTTTTTGCACATTTTCGAGGTGAAGAGGAACCCGCTTTGACAAAATATGAGAGGCAAAATTTAGGAATTTAGGTAAATCAGGGAAGACTACTATTGTCCTTGAATTCAAAGGGCCAACTTTTATTACTGTTTATGTCGGTAATATTCACCCAAAGCTTTTTTTGCTCCATAAATGTGCTTAAAGAATTTTAGACGTGTAACACACGTCAAGAATTAAAAGTTTAAATTGTATCTTACATTGTTTGTTTAGCTTAAACTGTTCAGCAGATATCTGGAATCCAATGTCAGACACTATCAAGACATGATTTAGGCATTGGTAAATCTGCATAGCTGGGTTTTATATAGAAATATGACATATTTAAGTTTGAGGGATACAGTTGCTGTGATGTGCAGCATGGCTGCTGCCATCTTTGTCTTTTCAAACTCGACACCATGGTGAATTTGACTGAAACTGATGGACATTACTATCTTTTCTTTAGCGGCACACCCTGAAATATGCTCAAAAACGTTTCTACACTAGATATGCTTAATGGGAATCTCAAACATTTCAATTAAAAAGAATGTGTCCAAGGGGCAAAAAATAGAAAATAGGTTAAGGGTCTCTTGGCCCCAGTTCTTCTTTTATTCTTACCTATTAAACATGAACTGGATTCAAATTTGACATTGTGCAGTTTACCTCGTGCAATTTGCTGTTTCACCATCGTGCTCACTGCAGACAGACAGATGGGATATAAATGTCTGGCCGAATATTAAATTGCCCCTCCTGTAGCCTCCCGGCTCTGTTAGAAAACACAGCATGTGTACGAATATGCTATTAAACAGTAGATAAGCCCACTGGATGAAGGAGTGACCATTTTGAATCCATACAGAGTCTTTGTTTGTTTACGTGTACATGGGCTCTGGGGTATCTTGTCAATGCTTTGCTCTGTATGCGCTGCACCTGCTGTAGGGCTGGCTGTGCGAGCTCCTGCGCTGGAAGGAGGATCCCTGCCCAGAGAACCGCACGTTGTGGGAGAACCTGAGCATGATCCGTCGATTCCTCAGCCTGCCGCAAACTGAACGCGACGCAATCTACGAGCAGGAGAGCAACAATCTGACCGCACAGCACTGCAATGAGAGAATGACGCTGCTCGGCAATGACAGCACTCTAGTAAGGCTCCGATTATAAGATTCCATAAGATGGCATTTATGGGTTGCAATCTTTTCTATGATCTGTTTTGGAAAAGTGTTCGGAAAAAATCTAAATATTTTACTGGAAATTTAAAAGTAAATAGAAATTGTTTTTAAAAGTAGCCCAACTAATGATGGTTACCATCTAAAGCAATGATCCACAGAGCAGATCACTTATTTTCTTTAAATTTCAGTGCTCCTGGATTGATTTAGGGCTTGATTGCAGCATCAACTCAAATATATAATAATTGGTGTTTTACAAGCATACCTCACAATCGGGAAAAGACCACTGTACATGGACATTATCTGTAACCAACAGATCTTGAATAACTTGTCTTAAGTAGCTTTTTTATTACCTGACCATATCAGAAGTTATATAGCCTTTACTTACCTTAGGAATCTGATAGGCTCAACGTACATTTTATCATATTTTACAGATAAAATTTCTCACTTTAACTTAATAATTGTACTATTTAATTAAAAAGACAGAATGCAGTCACAGTCCAAGATGAACTTTATTATATCAGTCAAAGAATTACAAATTAAACATACTTATTCGTTCATGAATTCAAAAAATAAAAACAAACTGAAACTATTGCACAAAAAAAGGTATATGTTTCACTTGATGCACTTTCTTTTACTTTAAACAGTACCAGCGCAACTCCCCGATGCCACAGCAACACCATCTTCAGCCACATCAACCTCTGCAGCCAGAGGCAGGACCTCACTTGTCTCCACGGCAACCGTGTGCCGCATCACCAGCCGAGTCTGAAGCCGGGGCCACCTGGGGGCACTTGAGATTACGTCTGCAGGGTAGAGGCGGTTGCAATGATGAAAGAGAGGAGAGTAAGGACTGGCTTGAGGGCGGAGGAGGAGACGGGGACTTTCTGGGAGGGGTCTGGGGTGGAATTAAAAGAGTGACGGAAAATCATAATAGCGAAAATAACGAGTGGGAGAGGGATGGAAACGTAAACAAAAAAGACACAGAGAACACGGAGGGCAGCAAAAACGGAGAGGTTACGGAGAAACCGCATGTTGAGTGGCCTACCGTGAAGAACGAGGACAGAGGTTGTGTTGGGGTTTGCTCTAAGGCAGATAATGAGGCCAGAGGTGGAGATGAGGTCCAAGGTGGTGGCTTGAGCGTGTCCAGTGAGGCTCTGGGAATTCTGCAGAGCTTCATCCAGGACGTGGGCCTCAACCCTGATGAGGAGGCGGTCCACACTCTCTCTGCTCAGCTGGGCTTACCAAAACACACCATTCGCAGTTTCTTCAATAGCCAGTACCAACGGCAAAGCCAAGACTGCAACCGGAGCTTCGTTGTACACAATCATAACCTCCAGCAGGGCTGTACAGACTTAAATCTCTCAGAAACAGACTTAGCTACACAAGAACTTGAGGTGGAAGTCAATGGAACGACGGAAAAAGGACAAAAGCTACTGGAGAGGCAAATAGGTCGAGACAAAACGAGCGAGATTATTGTTTCTAAAGAATCACATGTTGGCACTCAAACTATTCCCCTAATGAAGGAGGAGCAGGAGAGTTACATCTAACTTCTACACGTCCAGGGTCTGCCTGGGACAAGCTGATCCTTTTCTCCGCGAGATCCTCTTCTCCGATATGCTTCTAATTGCAACCCAAACACCCCTCATATCCTTCCATTAAAGATTCACACAGTGCTCACATCGGTCTGGTGAAAAGCATGTTCTCAAACAAATTATGGAAAGACAGTTATGGGTGACTTGTGCTCCAGAGACCAGAGCCAAGAGCCATTTTCTCAAATGAACGCCTGAGATGGCTGGCTACTTTGCACAGAATAAGGCCCTGAGATTTTCCACTTGTTACCCTCTCACGCATGCATTGCACAGTGGTAGATACTCCAAATGAAATGGGCCCTGAAAAAGTTGAATATTCCATCGTGTTGCCAGGTTGGAGAGCACATTAGGCAAGATCCGATGCCAAACGTTCACTGTTGAAATCAGATTCTTTCATTTACAAGAGTGAGAATGCACTGGAGGCTCATCAGCTGGAATCGTTCTCCGCCATTTTCTGTTGTGACACCGTATGTCCTGAGGCAATGTTGACTTTTTTACATTTTCATACGCAGTCCCCTCACAACAATTTTAAAATTGCAGTACAAGTGTGGCAATCACTTCAACATCATGCATATATTTAAGAAGATAGTTGTGGGATTTGGGGATCCTTATTGCACTTGATACAGAGTTAACTGTACCAAGTGTAAAGTACAGATGATGTTGGTGAACGGTTCCTGTTTATAGATACACGTCTTCACAAATTGGAACCAGTACAATGAGCCTCAGATTACATATCTTTGTTCAAAAAGATTAATTGTAGTTGGGTTTGGAGAAATGTTCATACCAGAAATGCCTTGTAGAAAGTGGCACTGCCAGTCTTTTTTATGATTACCATTTCCATTGTTTTTATTTTTGACCGTTCTTGTCGTGGTTTGAATACGATTTTGGCTCATTTGAAACTGACATTCCTGAAAATATCCCCCTGATCCTAATTTTTCTGTCTCGTAAAATGTTACTTCTGACAACCTGGTGAAGTGTAATCATTATGAAACACTGATGGTTGAATGCAGTGTCTACAAATGACGTTGTAGTTTACATTCATTATTTATATTCACGCATGAATTTGTATATCCCTCAAAGTGTACTGTGCATTTTCCCTCTTTCGGTTATTCTGATTTTATGGTTCACAAAGAGCCAAATCAGCATTGAATGTACAATGTTGAAATGTCTCTTTGTAAAAGAAAGGTTGTTGCATTTAATGTTTTTGAGATATCTGATCTTCCGGTAGAAATACTTATTCCCCCAACAATCAGAGTGCGAATAATAAAGATCTGTGTAAATCTGGACCATTATCTTCTACTTGAAATAATTCAATTTTGATTACGTCCTTTAGCAGGTCCCTTTCATTTGACATGTTAGGAACCTTTTCAGAGATGGAAACAAATTCTATTTCCCTCATTAATTCTAGGTGTCCAGCAGCATGAGATAAGATATGTGTAGAGCTAACATAGCTTGTAAGCCACCAGGCTGTCTTCATGCTTTTTCTCTCGCAAACAGACAAAAAATATGGTTGCTCTCATTGTAAGGAGCAAAGCGCCTGTAGACAACATCTGCTGATTTAGTTTGAGTGGAAATAACATAGAAACAAATTTTTGAGCAGTCAAAATGCAATTTATTGCAAAAGAAGTTTTAAAAAAACCACAAAAAAACAAGACAAAGCTCATTTATCATAATATTATTTTATGTGGGTTGTGACATATCTATAAAGGGGCCCTCTGTCTGGAACACCTTCTCCTTGCATGGTTATGACCGGGTGAAATGTGGTCATTGTTTTCAGCCATCAAACAACACTTCTTTGTGTTGAGGATATCTGAGTCTCCAGTCACATGCAAATCAATGCTTCCCTTGTGTCTTATGTTGTTTCTATTAATTCTTTCATTTCATTGTTTTAAGTGCTATTTTCACATCTCCTTCTGTCTTTCTATTTCTGCCCCTGACTCTCATATGTTCCTGCTAAAGACTCTTAACATTACAGCTCCTGCTCAGAGAGAGTATGACATTCAAGCCCCATTTGACCAGAATAGCTTCACAGAGTAGTTCAATAAAGCTGTGCTCTTTTCTGTCATCTGTTTCCATGACAATACTTTAGTCAGGGCCAACGAGAGGCCATGAATGCCTCATCATCAGTAATATTAGCTATAATAATGATGATAATGGCACTCTTGAAATACCACGCTTGTGATAATGATGGGAAAAGCAATAATGGTCATTATTCCTCCCTTGCGCTAACCCCGAACTACTACACAACCACCCGCACACATGACTACCAATGGGAACATTTAAGTCATTAATGTTAGTTAATGTCTGTACCTAAAGATATTTCCCATTTCCCTTTCATGACCATTGTTTTTTGTGTGTGTTGTTTATGTGTTAGAGGAATTTTCAGATAACGTAAAGCTGTTAGTTAAAAGACCTTGAAACATCAACTTTACCTATGACTTTAAAAACATCTGTTATTAAACGGAAATACAACTAATTTAATCACTTTTTATGATGCAAAGGCCTTTTGGTACATTTATCAATTCATTATATTTTTTATTTATTCAGTTTTATCCTCCGTGGTAGTTTGACACCAAACTTTTTGGTCACCCCAAAGCACACCATCATCTTATCTTTTCTCTATTTGGCTTCATGTAGGATGTTTATTTGTGATGGTTATCACTATTGTCTCACAGCAAGAAGCTTTCTTTCCGTTTGGAGATATCATTATCTCCCCAGGTTTGTAGCATGCTTCATCTTCCACCCACCATGTAAAAATGTGCACGTTAAGTTAATTAGTAACCCTCAATTAACCCTTGGAGTAATTATGAGACTGCACAGTTATCTCTGTCAGTCGCCTCTGTGGCCTGGAATAGACTGGTGATTTGTGTGAGGTATAGTTTGCCACTCCAGCAAGCATTACAACCTTAACTGAACTAAGCAGGTATAGCAGGATGGGTTAATAAGATATTTCAAACATCTTTATAAATAATTGTCAATGGCCAAAAAACAAAACAAAACAAAAAAGATCCAAAGTTTCTATTCGTAGACGGACTGTTCGAAGAATAATCAGCAGAGGGACAGAGGTCATAATGAATAAGTTCAATAATGAACTTATTATACAATCATTAATGATTGTGATGTAGACTGTACATGCTTTATGTTTACTTAGAATAGAATCATTCCTAGTGTGTCTAGAACCACTGCCTTCAGCCTTAGTCAGACCTCTGACCTTCTCAACAAATTCAATTGAACAACAAAATTAACACATGTTAGCAAACATTCTGATGAATCCATACATGTGTACTATTTTTACAAAAACATTGTTTGCATATTATTCCCTAAAAGGATCAATGCCAGGTATTGAGACTTTTTGGCCTAGCAACCCTCTTTTTAACCACTAATCCAAAAAGCATCAGTCCTTTATTTAAATCCATAAAAAAGACACAACATGTTCAAGCAAACATTTTAATGGATTCATAACAGAATAATAAAAAGTGGGGTATTTTTGCACAGGTGCCAAAAAGATGCAGGATCTACCTTCTCACGGCCATATCATGCGCCGAGGGTCCCTGATCACATGACCAGTCAGCTGATCTTCAGCACATCCGCCTGATCTGCTACTGTTTACAAATTAGCCGACTGTCCGCCACACAGGAGAATGAGGATCCCTGCATGATCTGGACAGGTATTCAAACAACACCGAAGGGCAGTAACTGTCGATAGACCCCCGCTGCATCGGGTCACGCTCGCGCCCCCCCGCGTGTGTTCGTCTCGTGCCTTGCCGCAGCGGCGGCGCGTGACGGAAGTAACGGCAGGCCCGTTCCTCGGCTCGGTTGCTAGCTAACCGCAAGGCTAGCTTCGCGTTAGCTTGGTTGCTTCCTGTAAAGCTGTAGCCATGTTCATTTGACGCTGGTAGCTGCAGCCGTCTACGCCGAGCCCGTTTAACCGGCGTAGCCCTCGCTTTAGCACTGTTAGCCCACTCGGTGCGTAGAGGCTAGCACCGGACTATGTCCGGGCTGCACCCCCTTCCCCTCAGACAAGTCGTCATACGACTTTTTTAAAATTCTTTGTCACTCTTTACATGAAATGATACACTTCCAGTTACATTTGTAACTTAAACTGAGTCGTTTGAAAATTATTCTGTCTTCATGGCAACACTCGTGAGAGTAAACCGTGTTTGGTTGGACCCTGCAAGTCACGGACGGGGGGGGCCGAGGGCCAATGCAGAGGTTTAGCATCCCAGCCCCCGCAGCCTCGGGCCGAGCCCACGTCTCTGCTGTTTCAGTCTGGGGAAACGAGACCAGAACCTGCCCCCTCAACATGTGCAGCACAGTCTACATGAAGAGGAAATAGTTGGTTTTTTAAAATGCATTTCACTGTTGTTTAGATGTCAGAAATATTCCTCCCCTGTTCTACGTACACAGAAACTTTCCCTACAGTTCAGATGTTTCCAAGTCCTTTGTGCATAAGGATTATATCTGTCTGGCCTCTCCCTTTTTAATTTTTTTTTTTACATAATTGCCTGGCAGCAGTCATCTGAACTGACAGAGGTGATTTTGCATATCTGTTCAAAATTCGTTTCATCCACTGATGTGAAACAGCTGGCTGAATGCTGCAGGAATGTGTGTTTCGCTTTGCTTCCTGTTATGGTCTAAAGGCTAATGGCTGTACTGGCATGGGTTATGCTGCACAGCTAAGCACCCAAACATTGTTTTGACAGGTTGGTGGCAAGTAAGGAAATGGAAACCTTCTAACTTGTAGGGGGTAAATTGTCCATTTTTGGGCATTTCATCGCTCTTTTTTTATATAATCATTCATATCTTTGATAACTCAACTTAGACCATGAGCTTCCTATTGTGCAAAGTTGTCTAGCTTTTATTGCCTGTGCCTCTTATTAAAAAAGCTGCTTTCATCCCCTCGGCTACAGCTGCATTTCATTGTGAACGGTCCAGCAAAATAACTTTTTTCTCCCTTTCTTCTGAGGTAACATTGTCTAATAAATTACAACAAAAAAGCTATGATTAGAGTATAGGGGGGAAATATCCCTCTCGGATTTATCATATGACTCCTCGTTGGGTTTCCAAATCCCCTGCATGCCAAATGCGGCTCTAGTTTTTGATTACGGTACGGGCAGATGTGTGGTAATTGAGTCAGGCAAGACCCAGAAGATTCACGCTATTTTGCAAAGGTTATGGTTTCAAGCATGTTCTCAGCTCCTTGCGGGGCATGTGACCGTAAAGGCTCTTGAGCTGTAGCAGTGATCTGAAGTAAAGGCATGTGAGTTTATTTAGCTTGGGTGCTCCACTGTGACCAGACCACAGTCTCTACTTCTGCTTTGGCTACTCACGATAGAGCCTCTCATTGCCGTCCACAGAATCCTCTTTGAATATTCTCTAATACTCTAAGACGCCCATTATCTGCTACCCTTTCCGTTTTCATTTAACCGCAGATGGCTCTTAACAATTGTGGACCTGAGATAGTAGAGGACTCGGTTAATGCCTAGTATCGAGTGGGAAATGAAAGGACTGGAGGAAGCTTATAAGCTGTGATATGTGTGTTCTTTTTTAGACTGAATGTCTTCTAGTAAAAGGAAATTGCTGAGGTTTATTAAGGGGAAGCAGCTTGGAGTGAAACTGTGTGACTTCTGTTGCTTGTCACACGATCGGAATCATTAATATTTCCTTTTGAAATCGTGCTTGATGTGCTAACTTTTGAAAAAGACTCTTTCGACTGTAATAAACTAACCTAATGAATTCAGTGTGGCTTTAGCATCTCAAGCTTTTGCTCGCAAACTCCAGGATCAGAATTGCCTCGGCACAGATGGACTCGCTGTTATTTGTCTGTTGATTTATGTATGCATTTCATTAAGTATTGATTTAATTATTTCATGAAAGATTTGTGCTTTTGAATTATTGAGGTGTCTCCAGGTGCTGTAGGTTAAATAATGCAGTAACTAATTTGCCTTGGTTATGATGTTGTAAAGTTTGTAAGTCATGTTACCTTCGAATCTGAAGAAATGTCAAAAACAGCAGAGGCCCTTAAGTCTTTTGAACATCATCTCTGGCTCGCTAACAAAAGCAAACGCTCATAAAAGGCCCCACAAAGCACGAGGAGTCGTTAGGGATCTGTTAAGGCCCCTTCAGAAAGTTTTTTTGCATGACTTTTTTTATTTTTGGAAAGAAGGGACAAAGCAGCGCATGTGTCTGTTGGGAAAATAGACCTCAAAATATCTTTTGTCAGATAGTTGTAATATGAATTAATATTCTGTGCCAGAAGACTAGTGTTTGCATTCGTAGAAGCTCGGGAGACTTTGAATCTTTCATGCCAATCTTTCGGAAGTGGGGAGGCGGACTATTATTGGAGATACCTAGTCACAACATTCCTCTGTTTTCTCCCCACTTATGGATTAGTTCTGATTATTTACTGGGATAATGCCATTTTCATGACAGAAGGGAGAAAAACCCCACTGACTTAAGGGGAGCATTAGTCTGTGAGTGGAGCAGATGTTTCCTAAGAAAACAGGCGCATGCATTATTCATGTAAAATCATTTCTATTTTCGCGGCGCGTGGAGCTAATTTATCAAGCAGTGTTTCATTCACATGGTTAATAGGTTTAAAAGAAGCCTTTGTTGTGTTATTTCCACAATTAATAAAAAAGGAAAGAGCACATCGTGCTGTTCCGTTGGCCTGTGCTTAAGGAAAACTATAGCTAAACTAGAGACATGAACTCATTCCAGTTTGGGTAAACAGCAGAGGTACAACTGGTTGCCCCAGATTGTTGATGGCTTGCTTAGAAACGGATCGCCCGGTCAGCATCATAAGCATGCATCACTTGGAGTGTTCGAGGTGGTTTTCGTACAGTTTGTTGAGCTGCAAGTCTTAACAGTGTGACCCTAAATCATGAATAATGCTCGCATTATCTCTCACAGCACACTGGATGTCAGATGTTACTATACTCTAGGCTACAGCAGTTATTTTTTCCAAAGCCAATTAGTTTCTCTGGGGGATTCCTTCAAATTATTTATTGCTCATAACTCCAGATCAGAAAGTGTTGAGACGATGTGCAAAGTTGAAAAGAAGGGGATTCCTGCTCTTTCTTTGTTTCTTGCCAACTTCTTTTTTCTTTTTTTTTGTCAATCTCTGCTTTTTTGGGGGGGTTTTGGGCCAAATTTCAGAGAAAGTGGGGACTGTGAAGCTTTCGCTGTTTTGTTATGTCCTCATTTCCTCTCGCAAAACCTCATAGAAGTTCTGGCTTTGAGGTTAAAAAGTGATGTGGAAGTAACAGTTTTTTTTTTTTTTTGTCCTTTTCTTCTGCACACTGATCCAAAGGTGGGTTGGTGCCGTGGCCTTTGCCTTCTGCTGAGTTTCTGAGAGGTTCAGTCTTGTCGTGGCCTGGAAAAAAACAAGTCTCTTCAGGTCTTTCTGTAAACTGCAGTTTTTTCTTTTCTTACATCAGTTCAGTATGTCCTAATATTTGTTGGCAGTAAGAAATCCTCCCCCCGTCTTTGCATCTCCGCTTGAACTGTCGCCTTGTTTTGTTTCTTTCAATTTGTGGTCGATCTAAAACGCAGGAATGTATTAACTAAATGGAAGAAAGCCTTTTTTCCCCTCTTCTTCTATTTATATAACTGATATTATCTTAGGTTTCTTGTGTAAAACATGATTCAAAGTGCATCCGGTAACCAGGGACATTAGAGCAAGAATAGCAGTTTTAATGAATTCATCTTTGAAGGAAAAAGTAAAACAAAACAATCAGAAATCATAGATAGCCTCAGTATCAGATCTTGGGTTAGTCAATTTTTCGAAACACCTTTTTCTTTTGAAAATGTTTGTCTGGTGTATGTAGAAGGAAACATGGCTGTGTCTGGTTGCGACTGTTCTCTTTAACCAGCTTTGTCGGGATTTGAAGCCTCTATATTTGTGCTTCCTGTTCACACCATCCCGCACATTGCTGACACTCATCACCCAGCACCAGCGTGCATCACATCCTAGTTAGAAGATGTGATTACATTTTGACGAATGCAGACAAACACATTTCAGATAAACGCCGATTTTTTTTCCTCCAATTCTTTATTTTGTTAATCACCACAGCTTAAGTGCTACGTGAAGAAAGGTCCGTTTGCTCTGGAATACTTAACAGATGCATTCATTAGCCTCCCTAATGACTTCATTAGCTTTTGCGGGTTATGTTCGATATATCACAGCGTGCGCGGCTCTTGTTAATTCCAGCCGTTCCTCACTTGGCTGTAATCACTGTCTGCGTTTCGTCTGACAAAGTTGTGAGGAGAAAGACTCGGCGGCTGCCTGTCTGTCTGGTCACCGCCGTTAGATGAATGTTCAGCACAGTTTAGCGGGAGTTGCCGCTTCCCTCCCGAATCTGCGGCGACGCCGTGTTGAAAAGGAAGGTGAATTTTTTTTTCTTTTTCTTTCATCGTCTGTGCCGTCTGATGCTGCTTTCATGGCACCAAATCAAATCATTCTCTTTAACAGCCTTGTCCTTTATTCTCCCTGCGCTAAAGGTGTTTTGTGTCATTGTTTTGACCTCTTCCCCCTGCAGAAACATCCCTTTCTTCAGAGTCTAGACTGAGGATCACAAGGCTGTGACAGTAAGTACTGCGACCAAACAATAAAGCCTGCTTTCTTTCTGTTGATTAGCATCAGATTTTCCTGTCTGTACATTTTTATGATGAGGTCAGAAGCGGCGAGAGAAGAAAAAGCGTGTTAGTGCAGGTTCTGATCGATGTCTTGTGCTACTGTCAATAGATGTTAGTCAGTGTGTAGACTGGGTCCTTTGTGTTTTATCACCTGGACCTATGAGAGTCCAAAGGCAAGTGTTGATGTGAAATAACCAAAGAATAGTTTGAGGTCCTGTTGGTCACTTTTATTATGTGTTTTATCACTCTTTTTCAATCTCACCTGTTCTGATTTTTTATTCTTTCCTCTGCCCTCTCCATGGCCTCGTTCTTCCAGTCCAGGCGGGTCGCGGCCATGCAGCACCCCAATTTCGAGACCCGACACCCTCTCCAGACTGACGAGCAGCAGGAGACGGGCTTCGATCCGCTCCACAATTTCAACAAGAATCGCAGCAGTACGTCAGCTCTCGGTTACACTTCTCCGAGGATGCATTAAAACGGCATCCTGGAAAACTCATTAGGCGCCTCGTCCTGGGAAACGCACACGCATCACAACACCGGCCTAAGTTCGATTTAGATTTTGCAACCCTAACAGTTGCCACCATTTAAAAAAAAAAAAAGAAAGATTTGAACTTGGCATTCCGGACATCTTTTACATTATTGCTCTTCTAACAGAAAGACCAGAGATGTGGTCCTTATAAGTCAAGGTCCATGATGGAGATTAGAAAAGTTCAAGTTGGAGCTGAGTGGGAATGTGAGTCAGAGTCGTGGTGAGCAAAGCCTCCAGGCTAAGGGTGTTGTTCTGTTTGTGTGCGACAGAAAGAAAACATTGTGAGCCGGCATGTTGTGGAACTGATGAATATTCATACTGAACGTCCCCGTGGAATGATCGACTCTCGTAACTAATGTTGATAGACAGCTCTCTGACTGGTATGCGTGTTCACCTGCAGGCCAAATTAGACTTATTACTGCTAATAAAGAGGATGAGCAGGATCAGGCTTCACTTTCTCTTTTCGCTTTCTCTGCTCCTGGTCCTTTCCGCTCCGCCGCTAGCTTGTAAAAGAAGCCCCTAAACATAAGCGGTGGCTTATATAAAAGAGGTCAGTTCCTTTTTGTTGATGTCAAAGACTATGCATCTACAAGTTTTGAGCGCTAATATCTCCCCCTTGTGGTTGTGTGCCTTCAATTTGCAGGAGGGTCTCTTGACAGCAACACACACCCACAGTCTCAGTCAACCTTCCTCTCGTACAGGTAAGGTCCCCCAGCGTTTTTTATCGTCTACTCTTGGCTCGTCACGCAGCCCCAGCCTCTCCGTTTACTTCTGGATGACACGTTAGATGGAAGACCGTGCCCCGATTTGGCTTGAGAAGCTCATAAATCTCCTCGTTCTCCTCCTCCTCCTCCCTTCCCCTGTGCAGGAAAGAATGGGACGACTTGTTCCTCAACAGTAATTACCTGGCCAGGATCCGGCAGGCAGGCATCAACGGCCGACTGAGGAGCAGCCGCTTTCGGAGCGTATGTTGGAAGGTAACTGCCAAGTGAATCAAGCTGTCCAATCGAGTTAGATTAGAGGGATTTGGGCGAATTCCCCGCCACAGAAGAGTGGAAACAAAGCCCAGAGTTTAGCTGTGAGAGGACGGTGCTCCGCACGCTTGCGACACCTTAGTGAGATTTTATTGTAGTTTAGTTTTCTTTCAATCAGGACTGACCCCAGCTCTCTGTGCCCGCAGTTGTACCTGGAAGTTCTTCCAGAGGATAAAGGCCAGTGGATCAACAAGACCAAGGAGCTCCGTGCACAGTATGAAAAAATCAAGGAGATGGTGAGAGCGCCCCCGTGTGGTCACTTCCTGCTATTTCCACACCAAAATAAGCTCATAGAGCAACAGCACTGAGAAAAAACATCAAGCCACAATCATTTGAAAACAAATTATTATTGATATAACTGCAAACTCTCAGCAGCTCCAGGTGTTTTAAGTTGAATCGAAAGGATTGCTGCTTATCTGCTGTTAAAAGAAGAGAGCAGGTAGATGGTGAATGATTAGTGTGTGTTGTTTTCCACCGCAGCACATCACAAACCCCCGGAAGGCAGCAGGCCAGCAGGACCTGGTGGTCAACAACCCGCTGTCCCAGGATGAAGGGGTGAGGCTGTTTGCAGTGTGGTCGTCATCTTTGTCTTTTTGTTGTGTGTCTTTTAGGATTTGTGGTCCTAATAGATTCTCATCAATGCAGATTGTGTCTCATGGGTCTCCACAAAGTCATTATTAAGTCATTGATTTAGATAGTTGTCAACTCACAGCTTAGCTGTGTTTGTTTTGTTTTTTCCCCAGAGAATTTAATTTTCTTACATTTACTGGCCTCTTACTGAGTGATGGCTGTTGGAAAGCCACACCGATAAGCATAAAGAGGCAATAGGGGCTCTTAGTGGCAAGCAAGGAAGTCTGCTCAGAGCTGGAACATTTCCAGTGAATCCATTCGCATTAACTGATTATTCGACTTGTTAATTTTTGTTTTTACTGTTTGGCAAAATGTCCAAGCTGCAAAAATGAGTCTACAACAAGCTTGCAGATGTCTCTGTATGCTATAAGTGCTTCAAATAAGGAGCTTAAATTCAGCTTATGTGGCCCACCATAATGACAGTTGTTTTTAAGGAAATCATGAGATAGATTGCTGCCCATAATGGAGAATAATTCAACTTCAAAAGATTTTCTATTGTGTTTTTGGACAATGTATGCACCAGCTCTCTGACCCTGTCTTGTCTTTTTTTTCTTCCTTGACCAGAGCCTGTGGAACAAGTTTTTCCAGGATAAAGAGCTGAAGGGGATGATAAAGCAGGATGTGTTCAGAACGTACGAGCATCTCTTTCACATAGTTTTGTATGTTTGTGGACTTTGAATGACCTGGCGTAAACCTTTTTTTTTTTTAACGACTTTTAAAGATTCCCTGAGATCCGTTACTTCCAAGATGAGGACGTGAGGATCAAGCTGACGGACATTCTCTTCTGCTATGCCAGAGAAAACGAGCAGTTACTGTACAAACAGGTAGGACTCGCTATCGAAGCAGCTTCTGTCAGTTTAGGTCACATTTTTGTTTCCCCATTTTTCTCTTCGTTCTCCTGGCTCTTTGAAGCATTTTTAAAGAGGATCAAAATAATCGTTGTGGTGAAACGAAATGCCTTCATAACCTAATTATTATCACTATCTGTAACAGGTGCCTTTGAAAGACTAGCATGGCCAGCACAGCGTCTCTTTTGCAAACTAGAAGTGACACACAGTCAGCGGTGCCTAACGACATCTAAATTAAAGCTGCCATTAGGCATTAGTAACCTCGTACATCATTATTAAGAAAGACTGACCACAAATGAACTGAGGGTTCTATCTATCACTGTTTTTTTTTCCCCTGTCTGCAGGGGATGCATGAGCTGTTGGCCCCCATAGTGTTTGTGCTTCATTGTGACCATCAAGCTTTCCAGCATGCCAGTGAGACGGCCAGCCCCAGGTCAGCTTGTACTCGCTGTGAAAACGGAGGCCTTTAACACCTTTGGATCCGCTTCTCCCTTTCGGCAACGGTGGATTTAAGGTGTCTCTGTTTTTCCACAGTGAGGAGATGAAATGTCTGCTAAATCCAGTCTACCTGGAGCACGACGCGTAGTGAGTATATCAGCATCCGACCCACGGGAAAAGTTTGTAAGACAATCGCTGTGCTGCACTTTCCGTAACCCGAGGGCTGTGCTTATCTCGCACTGTGCTGCGTTCACTGTGTATCCGTTCGTGCCTCCTCTCCATGAAACGCTCACACTGTCCGCCTCGCCTCACTCACAGCGCCATGTTCTCGCAGCTGATGGAGACCGCAGAGCCCTGGTTCTCCAGCTTTGAGCGGGAAGTGAGGAAGGTCAGTGTGATGGGGCATTTTCTTTGTTAGCTTTTCTCTTAAAAGACCAAAAAATCTTGTGACACAGGAGTTGATTTAGCATTACAACACAGTATCTACAGATTAAGGGAGCATGGTTTGATACGAACATAGAGTGACTCCACTGAGAGTTTTTAGCCCCGCTTGATTTGGTGAGACGTACATCTGGTTTCCATGGTAACTCCCTCTCAAACACAGAGCATCTGCTCAATTTGTGTTTGCGGGTATATTTAATCCAAAAACCATTCAATTGGAGCTTTATTTAAAATAACATTTGATTTAAAATCAAATGTTTAGCCTGGCACTTTAGACTCTGCTCCCATCACTTCCTGCCGTGATTGGAAATGTATGGTCAACTGTAACTTAATTCAGTTGTGCTGCCGCAGCTGGTGTGGGACAGGAAAGATTTAGGCATTGAAATAAAACGCAGCTGCGTGCACCAGAGTTTAGTGGAAACGTCAGCCACTAACAATGAAAATGACTTAATAGTAAAGTAATTAGCATAAATTTGTTGGCCACAAATTGCAGAAACAGCATCAACCATTAAGAATTCCGTAAAGTGATTATAGAGTCGTAAAAATCAACATCCAGACTACAGAAATACGCATCCCCTTTCACAAAGGGGAGAATGTTATCCATGTTTCGAGAAAGTAACAGTTTCTCTTTTTAACATATGCTTCAGGCAGATGGACACAGATGCTGCTAAATGATGTTCATATTACGATGTGCCGGTTATATAAAAATCTGCTCCCCCAGGGGAAGGAAGAGATGTTGACCAGCATCCCGTTTGCCCGGCCCCAGGATGCTGGGCCATCCGTTGCCATAGTAACCAAAGTCAACCGGATCCAGGACCAGCTGGTGAAGAAGCACGACATAGAACTACACATGCACCTCAACCGGCTGGAGATCGCCCCCCAAATCTACGGCATGTCAGTATTTCCTCCTTCAGCCCAGCGGATTCTTTTTTTTGTCGCCTCTCAGCTGGACTTGGAAACAATTGCCCTGTTTTTGTTTTTTTTGTCTCCTCAGCCGGTGGGTTCGCCTGCTTTTCGGCCGCGAGTTTCCTCTCCAGGACCTCCTGGTGGTGTGGGACGCCCTGTTTGCAGACAGCATCACTCTGGACTTGGTGGACTACGTCTTTGTGGCTATGCTGCTTTACATCCGAGATGCTTGTAGGCCCCCCTTTCTGAAATAATCCGATAAACAACCGTTTGTTGGTCTTCGTCGCATGTGATTTTTATAAGCGACTCTTAACTGGAAGAATGTGATTTGCTCCGCATCATTTAATCCAGTGAGGTCATCTAGCTTGAAGCAGACAAATGCAGATCCTCTCTGCCATATGTACAACCAGGGCTCAGAGGAAAATGGCAGCCCGACTCCCACTTTTCCCCTTGATAACGTAACATTCTCCTGAGACCTGTCATGTCACATTGTGAGGAGCATTTTCCTCAAAGCTTGAAAAGGAGAAAAGAGATATAAAAGTAAAGTAGACCTGAACCTCAAAGACTTGTGACACCGGAAAACTTTACAGATCATCCTCATTCCTGTCTTTTTGCAGTAATCGCCAGTAACTTCCAGACATGCCTGGGCCTGCTAATGCACTATCCCCCAATAGGAGACATCAACTCTTTGCTGCAAAAGGCCTTGTTCCTGCGAGATCCCAAAGTAAGCGCCCAGAACGATCTACCCGTTTTTGTTTTTTTGTTTTTCTCATATAGGATTTGTCGATTTTTGCTGAAGCGAAACTCCCACATGCAAATAAGTGGGTTGAAATCCTTGAGCAACAGTCACATATCATAGACCTAAAAAGAAAAAAAGGCTTCCGGGTATAAGGGGCTGGGACGGGGGGAAAAAGAGGGGGGGGGGGGGGGGAGTCAAATTTAGCAGCAAATGTTTCAGCTCCTCACACTTGAATGGCTGCATGTTAGTGCCGACAGCACGCTGATATTAAATAAAAGAAACGCAGGTGGAGTCAGTGAAGTGGGGACTGCAGCTAATTTGCTTAGATATAGTCATACGTGGATTTCGTAGTTTCGGGTCATGATTGAGCTTCTGTGCAATGTGCCAGCAGGAATAAAACATTTTAATCTTAAACCTGTATCATGGTATCAGGGAAAAACAGAATAACTGACCAGGTTCACCATTGGTTATGTTAAGCTTTGAGCCGAAAGATAGAGAAATCAGTTTTTCGGATGTTGAAACAGCTGTATGTTTGTCTCTGCATTTGTAATTTTATGTCCTCACTTTTACCCCAAATTATCTTAAAGTTACACTTTATTATCTTTTATTACATCTGAATTTTCATCATGAAAACAAGGGGCTACTTTGAAATTGGTCAAAGAGTTGAATTAGCTGAATTTTTCATGTTTCTCATATCTCCTTTTAATTCATTCTTCAAGCATAATCTTAACATGTTTTCAACTTGACTTAAACACGAGTTAGATCTTAAGATTTCCCAAAGGTGTTGATCCAACATGACAGTGTTTCTTGCACCTGAACGGCCACGTCGCAGCTTGTCCGCATCATTTTTACACCTGCAGGTCACTGCCTGTGTCGTGGGGGGGGTTGGGAGTGAGGCTCGTTGCTCACAAAGCTCTGACTCGCATTTGCTTGTTCACATCGTCTTCCATCGCTCGTGCAGATGTTAGGCGCTTGAATCTCTCACTGTAGCTGTTTGGAATGAAGGCGTAATTAGTTGTATCTGCCTCAACTCTTGCAGAACAACCCACGACCTGTCAACTACCAGTTCCAGCAGAACCTGGATTACTACAAAACGAGGGGAGCTGACCTGATGAAGACGACACGGTGGGCAGCTACTGAACCTCAAAAACCCCCCAAAAAAAGTCTACTTCTCTTTCAGAATCAGAAATACTTTAATAATCCCAGAGGGAAATTATTTTACTCTATCATACATACATATAGTGTCAGTTAAATGTCAAATCCATTTATCTTCGGACTGCTTGTTTACGATCTCTAGCAGTAAAACGCAGGCCGTGCTGACCAGTGGGACGGGGAAGGAAGGGTTGGCAGAAGGCCAAGGCAAAAGCATGCTTCCATGAATAGATCTTGTCTTCTTCCCTGAGTTTTTGTCTATCCTCCCTGCCTTTGCAGATCTAGTTCCAGTGGGAAGGCCGCTCCCCTCAACATCAACAAGGTGTCCAGCAGCCTGCTGAGCTTCGGCCGGAAGCTCATCTCTCCGGCCATGTCCGGGGCCCCCAGCGGCATCTCCCCCATCAACAGCGAGGTGCACTCGTCGCCGTCTCCTTCCTCCTCGTCCACGCCGCCGGCGCCCGCCCCGACGCACCCATTGGCCGAGGCCCCGCCCCCGGCGCCCGCCGCCCAGGGCCCGGCTCACAGTTACCGCCTGCTCAAGTCCGAGAGCATGCCGGTCCACCTCAGCAAAGGTGAGCCGCAGGACACGGTGGCCCTCCACGGGGTGTGTGTGTGTGTGTGTGTTTTTCCGGACCGTGGGGAATCACCTGCATGCCGTGTTAACAGTGGGAGGGGTGGGGGGGGTTGAGTGTCTCCAGTGTTTGCGTGGTTGTGGCAGCAAAATCGGCTTTGACTCTCCTGTCTGTCAGATGGACTTACAGGTGGAGTGTCTCAGCGCTCTCTCCCCGCACAGGCTCACACTGACACACAAGGTAACAGCTGCCACGGCAACCGCTTGTGTGACGCGCCCCTCTCCCCGTGTGTGTCCGCGCTTTTTCGTCGCCTCCGTCGCATGTTTTAACACAAAGTTTTGCCCGTTTTTGCTCGCCGGCTGCCGCATGTGGGTCTGAACTACGACCAGCAGATGGAGATCACAGCTTGCTTCAGTACTTATGGCGACGGCGTCCAGATCCGGGCCGGTTTTTATGCCTAAACTGTGCGTTTGTGGCAAGACGTTGCCATGTTTTGTGAAGTCTAGTCGTCCAAATCTCTGCTAGTATTTATGTGTAGATTGTCTAAAGGTTTCCGTTCTACTTTGATGGATAAATAAAATGCTTTGCCACATATTTTAGGCCCATATTTGCATTTGAATGATGGGATTTAGCCATCGTCAGCTTAATTCTTGGAGTAGGGGGGATGTGTCTCTGACACTCTCTGTGTCCTGTGACTGCACATCTTTACGCAAGTTAAAGTGGATTAAGACAAAACAACAGAAAGCCAGAAAGGGAAAGGAAGCATAAAAAGCTTATAACTGTGTAGACAAAAGGAAAACGGAGAAGTGGAATTATTAATTGGCAAGTTTAGCCCTTTCTTGTTTGGGGTAGATTAATGCATCATTTAAATGCAAATGTATGTACGCTGCTGTTTTCAACCACAAAAGAAGTCTGTAATTATTCAAATGTCTGGTCTGAAATTACCTCATGCCCCCCCTCCCTTCCCAAGCTTCAGCTTTTAAGTTTTTTTTAAGGTTTGAGGAATGACACTAATTAGATTTTGGTGTTGCCTCAGCGTGGTTTTCGGTAAACGTTGGTCCGTTCTCTTCTTCCTCTCCCCAACATCTCGTAGGCCAAAGCTCCCGGACAGTCAGCTCCTCCACCAGCATAGAGAGCCTCTGCGGTGGGCGGGGCCAGTCCACCTCCTCTCCCCCCCTCCCCCTCTCCAGGGGGAGCGATGCCAGCGCCTCCTCCCCTCCGCTCTCCGCCACCAGAAAGGACTCTTTCTTCAACATCACTCGCTCCCGCTCCCACAGCAAAACCATGGGCAAGAAAGAGCTGGTGAGCCGTCCCACCTGCCGTGTTTCCCAATACACTTCTTTTTGTTTATTGATTTGTTTTCGTCTGGTCTGTGCTCGCGTCCCACTGCCCGAGGCTTAATCCTCCTTCTCTTTAAATGCGCAACAGCAGGAGGAGGACCTGGAGGCCCAGGTGTCCTTTCTCCAGGGCCAGATTAACGACCTGGAGGCCATGAGCAAGTACTGCGCCAAGATGATGAACGCGCACATCTGTGAGCTCAGCCGCCGGGAAACCAAAGGCCCACGCACCACATAGGTTCGCCCTTCTGATTTTACAGGAACGGTCTCTCCGCAGGTAAAATCCAGGAAGTGATTCTCCAAGAACACCTGCAGAAAGAGGACGAGGTCCTCGTGTCTCTGGCCGGACTCAAACAGGTGAGGGTTTCCACTTTTCCCGAAATGTTCCAGAGTGTTTTTTTGAGAGCAGCCAGTGTGCAGATGGCACGTTTCTCACGCCCGTATGTGCGAAAAGCCCCCCCCCCCCCCCCTTCCCCGTGTGCTCTGGTCTGCGCTGGGTGTCCATTTCAGATCAAAGACATCCTGAAGGGAGCGCTGCGCTTCAACCAGAGCCAGCTGGAGGCCGGGGAGAACGAGGAGATCACCATCGCCGACGACCACTACACGTCCACGGCCGCCGCGGCCGCCGAGACCGCCCTGAGCGCCGTCAACCACCACAGCGGTCAGCAACAGCAGCAAGGCGGAGACGGCAGGGGCGGCCGGGACTCTGACCTGGAGGGGAACGCCAGCACGGACGAGAAAGACGAAGAGTCGGGAATGACCCTCCCTGAGCAACAGGTTATTAGTTTGTTCATCCTCTATTTAATTATTGCTGTAAACAAGCTGCCGTGCAGTCATTGGCTACAGTGTGCGTAATTAGTAACTCGTTGTTGACAGGGGAAGGAATGCTTTTTTTGTATTCCAGCTTTACCGTACATGACTCCCGTTCATTCAGGTGGCGTCGTCTGTGGGCTCGGAGGCTAAGAACTGGGACGACTACATCCTCGTGTCTCAGGACGTGGATCTGCAGGCCGAGGGGGGAGGAGGAGGGGGAGGAGGAGGAGGGGGCCGGGCCCCGGCGGAGCACACCCCCCCGGTGAGGCGGGGCCGCGGCACGGTGCGCCTGGAGCCGGAGGGAGCCTCGGAGACTTTCCACGACCCGCTGACGGCGGCCACCGCCTCGGGCTCCTCCAGCCCCGACGAGGGCTCCACCCACAGCAAGGACTCTGACTTCACCATCGTCAACCCGAACGACCTGTGAAGGGAGCTAATCTCCCCCCCACGTTCAGGAAGAAACACTGACTCGGGATCAGCGAGGGGGAACCAGAAGCCAACTGCTGTCAACAAAAAAAAAAAACACGAAAATTGCACACGTGGACTGTGACACTTGGTCACATATTCCTTATAATCTGTCTCTTTAACTGTCATCTGTGCCACTTAGGTCATGTCTGAGCTGATGCTGAATGCTGTCTCATCTACCTAAAGCCTCTCTCCCTATAATGCCGGGCCTTGTATGGGTAGCGTTGGACCTCACCCCCTTTTACTCCCGCTCTCCTATTCCTTTTACGACTGCTATTGGAGTTCCCCGCTTTGCAGAAAGAGGGAGCCATCGAACCGCTAACTCGTATATCTCCACACAGTTCCTTTGTAAGACCTCAAACTGCAGTTTCCCCTCAGGGGAAGCCTCTCCTTTTACTGTACTGACTGGGAGGTATGGCGGTCTGTCTCGTCTGAATGTGGAAATCTTGCCATAGCCCCCCTACCCGTGTTTTCCGTTTGTGAGTCTGTCTTTGTAAAGGAAACCCCACTTTTCTGATGCTGAAAGGTAAGGAGGACAGATTTGACCTCCCGGAAAACCAGTGCCTCTGACCGTTACTCTCCTCTCAGCCAAACGAAACCTAACTCTGTGATCTTTTTTTGTTTTGTTTGCCTTTTTTTTTTTATTCGAAAGAGAATATTTTAATCCTTTAAATTCTTAGTTTCCCAGATAAATATAGTTAAAATCAAGGAACGCGTCTGTTTTTCCTTTGTTTTTAGAATTTATTCCAAATTGGACATTTTTAATGTAATAGTTAAGTTCTCGCATTAGAAGAGAGTTGTTCTCATGTTCTGTGAAAATTATGTAAAGCTCCATGCAAAGAATGTCTCTCTAGCTACCCGTTCAGTATAATTAAGCCTAGATCAATAAAACTACATTGCTCTTGCTATACACTGACGTTTAGTGTCTGCTTTGGGAGTGCTTTACTCGCTTTTTACACAGTGGAAAAGAGTTAATTTCTGTCTGTTTCACACAGTTGGCACGCAGCACTGCTGTATATAGATATTTCTCTCGTCCTTGTGACAAACATTTGAGACATCGGTCTTCAAGATGCATTTTGTACATCCCGGTCTCCAGGTAAGCTGGAAATCTGTGTAAAATGTGAAAAAACAATACAATGCAATGAATCGCAAATAATATTTAATCTGCATTTAATTAAAATTGTAAAAAACTAAACTTAACTAAAAACAAGTGTTGAGATTTCTTTGGTTTCAGCCGCATATTTCAGAGAAACTTCATACAAAGGAAAGTTTTTACCACTGGGTTGCATCAGCTCTTCTGTTAACGGTACTGAACGCTTTTGGGTAATGGAGCTGCAATGTTGCTATCATTTTGAACAGGAAATGTTTCCCCATTCTGGTCTGATGGAGTTTCATCCGCTCCACAGACCTTCCTTTTGTAATGTTTTCCCCATTCAATATTATGACACCTTAATGTTTATTTTTATTTTTATGGTGGCCTTCATTCATTTGAATTTTTCATGACAGTTTACTTCATAAATGTTTAACTTGCCATGACTGGCTTATTTGTTTGAACTACTGTTGATGTATTTTTTTATTTTTACATATTTCCATATGTATACATATATATTATGGTAGATGACCTGCATATTTATTTGAAAATGCAATGCCTTCTGAAGTTCTAAAAATCCCAAACAACCTCTTCTGGCTTTAGACAAGGAAAAGCGACCTGAGAGAGATTTCCTCACTGCTCTGCTAATGTCTTGCAAAGCACTGATGTGGAATTATGAGGAATCTTCGCGGGTATTTGCTTCACACCAAAACATCTTTCCGCATTTTTCATTTCACTTTCAGTTCCACTTCTTTATTTATGCATATTGTCTTTTAGTTACTAGGGTGGTCATAACCATGCAAGGGTAAAACGTAAGGGTTGCCATTCATCAAATTACTTTTAAATGTTTATTTCCATTCTACCTTTAAAATATTTCAGTCTGATCATCTGAAATTCTTTAACAAACTACTGTAACCCTCTCCGACTCCATTATTCAGTATTGTGTTTTAGAGCATTCAAACTGAATCTTAAGTCAGAAAATTGACCTCATCGAGGATAGATTTTAATATTGTGCTCTTGGAAATAATGATTCTCGTCCCTGATGGAGCCACAAATGGAAGCTCCACTGCACATATGCACAGAGCCATATGTCTCCTTCTCTTATGCAGCAGATGAGTCCCCATCTGTCATCTCAGTCCTACACAGAACTTGTGTCATGTGTCACTATGAATGAATGCACAATTTAAATAAAAAAAAGAACCCCGTAGAAAAACAGAGAGAAATACATGGGAATCAGTCATTCAAAACCTTCTTTATTTCCATCCTGACTGTTCCAGGTCGTGTCCCACCTACTACAACCACATACATCTGGAATTTTTTCATTATTACAATAACTTATGCAAAATATTCTTTACAGAAAAAGGATAGAATTACATATTAAAATACTGTACAGTGTTTTGCACACAAAGTAAGCACTTTCAGCAGTAACAGTTTTAGTTCTGGAGGGACAGACAACAACCCCAGTTGAGCAATATGGCGGTTAAACGAGGTTTAATCTGAACGGGGGTTTATCAGAAATAATAAAATACACGCTGCTGTTCGGGAGACTATATTAATCATGTAAAGACGGCAATTTTGTTGCAAGACAGACACACTTGTGGCAACTGGATGAAGAGCAGCAAACCGGGAACAAAAGATGATAAAAAGACACATAGAGGCTGCACTGGTCCACAAATTACCGGTAGGAGACTTCAAACATTCACATGGACACTGAGAGGGTTTCTTCTACGTTAATGTTCAGCATCCTGATCTGATTCTAATCCTTGATATCGTAAGATAAAGAGCAATGTGGGGAAGTTTCTAGGTTGTCAGAGGGATTTTGGCAAAGCTTTCGGCAAATCAGACCGTAAGCTTGCAAAAAATCCAACTTCTTCTCCCTGGTCGTGACATTTCAAGCCTTCGAAATTGCACATCGACAGTAAAGGACAAAGATTTGGTGTATTTACAGTTTAAAACAGTCGAAACTACAGTAACTTGGCGCCAAACCTTACTACATTCATCTTTCCGACTTCTCGTTTTCTTGCATCTCCTATCAACAGTGCATTACAGTTTGTTCAGTGGCGGCAAACTTTTTAACATTCGCATTCCCTTCTGCCTTTTCTGAGAACATAAGAGCTTATCGTAGCAGCTTTGATGGCCTTACAGTCTGCTAGAGTAGTTACCACGTAGCTATGCCGAGCCCCCTCGAGCACTGGGGTGGTCCTCTGGACCTCGTCGCGTTTGGGAGCGGACCCTGCTTAGCCCCGCCCCCTCTTTGGTCAGGTTCCCGGTCAGAGCGGCGTCGTGCACCTGCTTCATGTTCTCCTGGACCTCGGCCTTGGCGTGCTTGAGCAGGTCAGCCTGGCCCTGCGGCGGGAGGAATGAGGAGAAAATCAAAAAGGGGAGTAGAGTGAGGGTATGTTTTTAAAGAGGGGAAAAGGAGCGAACGGCTAAAGGGAGAGCGTGTCGCTGACCTTCAGGATGGTGATGTTCCAGCTGAAGCTCTCCAGGGCTCGGCTAACCTTGGACCCTTTCAGGCCCTCCTTTGTCGCGAGGCTTTGCAGCTTTTCGTGAAACTCCATGGCTAGAGCAAAAAACACAAAGCCCACAAAGACTTGAAAAGTTGCCGGTTCGGAATCGAAAGATCGGAATTTAGAGGAACTGAACTGGCCGGCTTGTCAACCTCTGTAACGCAAAGTGGAACATTTATTTCTCGCATGCTGAGCAAGAAAAAAAAAAGATAACACTAAAGGATCTGCTATGTTGACACAGAGCTGTGCCTCACACGGGGTTGGCTGGTTTTGTTTTTCTACCCTGGGAAAATGCCCCGTTTAATCTCGGGGATAGTTTTTTTTTTTTAACTATCATTACAAACTGGGACATTGGCTTCCCTGTGATGAACCGACAACCAGGGAGCGCCCCGCCCCTGGCCCTGTGACAGCTGGGACGGACGCCAGCTTCCATAACGACCCTGAATTGGAAAAGGAGAAGACGGATGGACGGGACTTTGGCTTCCACTTCCACCATCCAAGCATTTTTCTACCGGAGCTAGTAACTAAAATACTCCTACAAACCTCCCACTCAAAAGGAGGAATTTTTTTTTATTTTTCGCCAAAGGACAAGTAGCAGATCTCAAAAGGAGGAAAAAAGGGTAATAAAAATGCAAATGAGTTCCATAAAGTGTGGATAGAGGATCTGAGAGACTGAAGGGGGGGAAAGCGAGTGAGTGTCATATAAATCAGGCCGGCGGCTAGCTGGAGTCTGAGCAGTGAATTGTGCGTCTGACTTCCTTTGACTGCCCTAGGTCACTGACCCGCTGTTACCATAGAAACCCGGAAGTGGGTTAACACAGGGGGGGGGAAACATCACCGTGAGCTATCAATGAGAACCTCACGTGCACGCGCAAAAACGCGAAGAAGACGTCACGGATTGAACGCCAGCACAAACACACCTACATAAGTTGCCGGAATAATAACCTTTAATACGCGGTTGCTAGGCAACTCAAAGCCTACGTGCCACAAGCAAGTGTGGAGGGGGAAAGACAATGTCTCCAAGCCAATACGAGGACAGCGTATATATACACACCCAAACTGTGTCCAAACTGACCCAGAGGCCAAACTGACCCTCAAAGCCTGCGAATCAGATTAGAGGCGCGCATTAAAAGGCCCCCCTTTCCCACCCTGACCTCCCTCTGAACCGTGTCCAGCCGAGATGCAACAGGGGGGTCGACTTCCAGTCTAATAAATGACCCGGGCAGCTGGATAATCTACTGTACAACTTCCTGATGAGGATCTCGGTAGCTCCTAACTCCTAACGCCGTGGGGGAAAGCAGCTGATGGTCTGAGGTCGACCGGAGGCCGGGTTCATTCACACGCGAGGCTTTATGAGCTAGAGAATTAGCTTTTTTTCACTACGCATCAACAAGCGGGCGGTTCCCAGCACGCCAGCTCTGGACGTCAATCATCCCCCGGGATGTGTGCACAGTGAGAAGCAAACTCATCAATAACACGTCTTCCCCTGCAGTTTTGCGTTGTCAGTTTTTTGCCTTGGTTTTTTTTTCCGTGACCCGGAGTGACGAGGGGGATTATTTTCATACAGAAACCCGGGCGGAGATTTAGTTTAAGTGGCTTAACGTGCCCCCTTGTTTGCTGCAAAACTGCTGATCCTACCAACCACTAATTTTGGAAAGAAAAACGGAAACCTAGATCTTAAAACCTGACCTCATGCTCTTAAAAAAATCCACGTTCAAGCAAACATTTCCCTCATATGTTTATTTATGCCCACCTGTCCTGCTCCCTTGTTGACCCAGTTTTCAATCCCCCCCCCCCCAGCTTCTCCTCCGCCTCCGCTCTCATCTGTCTAACAGCTGGAGGTCTTCTATTTGAATCTGTAATTCTTGCTCATGAAACGCTAATATTAAGTGTTGAAGTTAGTTATTTAACTCTCAAACTCTCCCACCTCCCTTAGTGTTGCCTTTCTCCTTTTAGTGCTTCCAGCTATCCTTCTCTGTTCTTTATCTTCCCACGTCCCTCTTTTCCCCCCTCCCTTTTTCTTCCTTCTGCCCTGAGCTGCCTCGGAAACACGCCTCTCGGCCACCGACCGTCCCGGGCTTGAAGTGACCCATTAATGCCTTTTTTTTTTTCGCCGTCTACCTCCTTTTTCCCAGAATGAAGGGTGGGCCCCTGCCCTGTGATCACCTGATCACCATCTTTACAGCGTACACACAGGAAGAGTTTGTTCAGAAGATCAGGCCCAGGGCTCTTATATCAGATGAACATGCTCGACTGCCCGTGGGCTAAGTTATCATATTTTAAAATCTTACTCCGTTTACATGTGACAAGATATAAAATAAAAACACCCACAATAGTGTACAATGTGGTCAAATGGCTTCTGCTGCAGTAAAAACTGTAAAACAGATAAAAGGGTCAGGACCTGCTTTATCACATCGTTCCAGGCTGACCGCAGGTGAACTATCCTTCCCTGGAAATATCCTTTTTAAAAATCATGTTTATGACAAATTCTCCTTGGTTTCAGCTTTTTTCCACTGACACCTTTTCTCCGGTGGCGTTGGTTAAAACGGAGAACGTTGCACTTGTTTAAACTCTTTAGCTCTTTTTAAACAAAGAAAATAGGCATAGGCACGCATAGGGGGAATGCCCAAAATGTTCTCCCTGAAAGCATACGGGTAAAAATACATTTGTAAATTCAGCTCCTCGACACTTGTCTGCACACAGTGAATGCTTTTCAATTACTTGCACCAAGCACCGGTTAACTCTTCTAAATGTCAAACATGCCATCTACTGGGAGACAGCCAGAGATAGAATCGGGTTGATAATTGTGGTGTGAGTAATGTGTGTAGCCTCTCGGTGAGTTAGAAGGGGTTGTTTATGGCCACTGGGACAACGGTCAGGCTCACTAACATCAGACGACCCGAAGCTTTCCCTGCTCAAGTAAACAAAGCTCCGCCAAAAGCCACAAAAATTACATCAGCGGGTCAAATACTGTGCCCTTCACTCCAGAGGCACGGGGGGGGCTATCGAGAAAGGGAGCAGTGCCAGTTTAAACTTCCTCTATCCAAAACATACAGATGAACCGGGCTAGTCTGACTGAGGTTGATTGGGCCGATGTCTGCAGAAGATGGAACGGGGAAAAACAAAAGACGGACAGAAAAGGGAAGAAAAGGAAATTAGAAAAAAAAAGGGATTGTAGACTTTAAAACAAGTCTATAGAGGCTATATGGACAGTAACAGTGTGTAACATGGGTTCTGCATAGGGGCATTTAATATGCACTGACACACAACCACACACACACACACACACCTGTCGTCTGTATATTCAGGATCCTCTCGTAGATTCCCTCAGAGAGCTCAATCACAGCTCGGCTTGTGCTGACCATCTGCGAACAGGGAACAGAGACGCTATTAGCGCGATGACTTAGCGTGACATTGTGTTTGTGGTGCACGAATCCAACCGTTCAGCGCTCACGCAAACGTTTATGGTGTGCAGTCAACAGACTAATGCACGTAAAAAACATTTATATTAATCAAACAATAGCAAGTAAAGTACTATTATTGAGCAAATACACGTGATGCATGCATGTGTGTTTGCATGTGTGCACCAACAGAAACTTGCATGACAACTCCATCTTAGTAATTAATGCAGAAAACACAAACACACACACACACAGAGGAATATGAAGAGAAATAGTTTGATTAAATCTGCGATTCCTGTCAAAAACCCTGCTTGTGGTTGATCGCTATGCAGGTTAAAAAAAAAAAAAAAAGTGCTGTTCAACAAACAGGGGATTAACTACAGTTCAACACCATCCGCGCACACGTTCTCATTTCCTGGATTTTTCTTTCACGTATCGAGATTGAGGTTGGAAATCCATTTAGCCCAAACGCATTCAAATCTATGCTAATGGTATTCAGCACCGGGGTGAGCTTTTTCAACCCTGATCCATTCAGCGGGAGCGGAAGTGGCGAGAGACACAAACAAAAACAAACTCACGTGCGCGCTCTCCCTTAGGCCCGTGGGGCAAGAACAGACCAGTCACACATTAGAGATGAACAGCAGGGACAAGCAACTGTTACATTACAGGGTCACACGTTATGCTCCAAAATCTTTAGAAAAACTGAATGAGACTTGAAAGAAATCCATTCATCTTTGCTACGGCTTGTTTCCGGCTGCAAACCAAACTCTTACCCCCAGCTCTCATTCACCATGCACGTGCACATACTATCATACTCCTCAAATAGCGTTGCTAAATTGGTAATGTAAACTAAGTGTACACCACATTGACCGGTAGATGTCTGAGAAATATCTAAATAGTAACCAAGCAGTGGCATTTCCGACTTCCAAATTTCTTTTTTGATTTTTTTTTTTATGAATTGCATCATTAAGACAGAAACTGAAAGTGCCATTATGTTCTTCACCACTGCAGCGAGCCAGCATTCTTTTAAGTGCTTCTCCAGACTCACAAGAAACCACTTATTCCAGACAGCCCAATCCAACTTGACCCAGAGGGAGAGAGCAGTGACAGGAACTGAAAGAGATTATTGAGTGAAAGAGGGAACGGGATGGACATTCAAGGACAAAGAGTCGCCAAAGAGACCAAAGGGAATTGCATTAAAAGTGAGATAAGAAAGTGAGGACGGAAAAACTTGAAGCGAGGGTACAATTTTGCACCCACTCGAATGATTCATCCTGTCTGACTGTGGAGCGGCTGTAAGCAGCACGCCGGTCGGCTGCTTTTCCCTCTTTCCTGTCTTAGTGCATCCACAAAGCAGGTTTTATGGCTGGGTTTATTCTTAGATATCAATATTTAAATTGAACTTGTTAAAAAAAAGGTTTCCCTCGGTCACAGAAAGTGTGCGGTTTGTTTGGCTGGAACCCGACGGTGGCTTCGGGCTAATGTGAGGATGCTGCTGACGTGCTTACTCGGGCTGGAAACAAATGGGGGTGTTGTCTGCTGAATAACAATGAAGGCTGACTTTGTGCTTCAGTTCGGATCGGAAGAAAAAGGACGTTTTTGTTTGAGGAGAGGGGCTTGCAGTGTAAAATTAGCCAGGCAGGAAATGGGAGGTGACTTCTTTGTTGTTTGGGTGCAATCTTTCCCAGAATCTCATTCATTTAGGACCCCCGCACGCAGATTTACACAGCACGAAAGATATGAATATGAACGTTCCCATCTATTCCGCACCCACCATTTCATAAGTAGAGACGACTCGGCGTAGGACGTCTGGCAAAGGCCCCTGGGGCTCCAGACTGGGGTAGTGGTCTCGCAGGTCGAAAAGCAGTAAAGGTGTTCCCTCTGGGCCGGACACTCTGGAGCTCAGAGCCAACACGCACTGCATCAGGTTAGCCACGGCCGAAACCCCACACAGCTCCCTGAACATGGCTACCGAGTTCTGTTAAAAAAAGAAAACACTCAAATGAAATCTACTGACCGGCCTGGTCAGTTCTCACCGCTCTGGACACAGCACACCAGTTGTCTGTGCAGGCAGAAAGCCCGGACACACGGAAATGTTGAAAAGTAACCCCATAAAAAGTTGTGCGATCACTTCCCCCCTCTGTCTTTGCTTTAATTTATTGTCGCTACCCACTGCACGACAACAAAAAGCTTTGAAGTGTTGGTGGAGCGTTGCTACCGAGGATGAAAACGCTCTGGAACATCACAGAGCGAGACAATAGGAACCAGTCAGCAAACGTTTCAAAGCAAATAGTGTGCGAGAGAGCCCGTGTGTCCCACTTGTGCCCCACTATTGTACATAAGAACAAACACACACCAACACAATAAGGACCCTCCTGCGCTCTCCACCATATAACGTCAAAAAAGAAAAAAATCACAATCAATTCCACAGATAATTGTTGGATCACAACAGCAGCTCCACGGAAGCTTGACGATCAAAGTGTGTGTGTGTTCTCCTGAACGTCTCAAGTGCGAATAAGTAAAAGGAGTTCCGCAAAAGAAAACACAAAGGCGATCAATACTAACTTCTACAATGGATTGATTTTTTTTTTCTCTAAGGTATTGACTTCTCTCCGGCTGTTGAACTAGTTCAAATTACATACAGATGTGGATAGTCTCACTATATTAAAAGAATAAACAGAAAGTAATATACAGCTTTTGCTCTTAAGTAGTATATCGATTCAAATTCCTTTTGTAATTAACCTTAGTCAAGCCTAAAGATTAAGAGTTCCTTTAACAAAGGTTAGTCCCACAATTCAGTCCCACAAACAGTTTTAAGGGAAAAAAATGCTTGTGAGGGCCCTTTCCCCTCATCCCCTTGTCTTTCCACTTCAGTCAAAATGAAATAAGAGAGTTAAGGGAATCTTTAACTAATGTATAAACACATAATTACAGTTTTTTTATTGTCCAAACACTTGTCTGAAAGCTTCATTTTCAATTCAACTCCTCCTCACCTGCATGTTGCCCCTCAAGTCAGTGGCTTCCCTCAGCAAAGGAGCAGCCATTTTGAAAACCTCATCCACTGCTCGGACTCCTAGGTCCCTCAGAGCTGTGTAGTCCCTCCCTTTCCGCGCCTTCCGCACTGAGAGACCTCGTTTGTGAGGCTTTCCCCCGCCTCTGCGATTCGTGAGGGCAACGTGGACAAACAGCTTGGCGTGAGGAAGCTCCTCCCCGGTGAGGGACTGCAGGGGTACGTGTCTGTAGCCAGGCTGGAGGCACTCCAGTGGTATGGTGTACTGACCTGTGGCAGTAGGGTAATGGCATTTCCACAGTAAGTAATTTCATATTAGGAAGTCTGAATTCCGCAGTAGCGCAACACTCACTTACCTATGAATTCATCCCCAATGAAGTCATCGTCCAGTACCACGAAGCGCACCATGGCAAGCTCAGGCAGGTTAATCTGGAACTCAAAGCTCTCGTCAAAGATGGGGTTGTCCCCGTTCTGAGTCACGGTCCTGGTGCGGCGCTCGGTGCAGTCAGCCGGAATCCCGTGAATCTCCACGTACACGTAAGGGTCCACCACGTCCCCTTTGGCCCCCGAGCCTCTGGGCTTGGGCAAATTCTGACCGCTGATCACCTGGGGGAAGGATCGCGATCAAAGGGGAATTCTGCACCATAACCAACTAAGGCTTCGAAGTGGTTCGAGACAAGTCACTGCAACTTCCCATTTCATTCAAGTCATGAACAACCGCGATTTCTTTAAATCTACGATATCTACAAATATAACCCAACAAAGTTTGCCCAAACTTTAAAAAGGTCCAATATACTGACTGAAGAGCAGAGGTTTCTTAAGAACTTTAGAAGGTGTGTTTTTTTTTGTTCTCTACTAAAGTTTCCAGCCTACCTTCACGTGCAGAAGCTGTGGAGAGACCCCGGGCACCGTGTCCATGGTGTCGGCACTGAAATAGGACACCTCCTCCCGCATGATGGCTGGGCGCAGCACGTAACCACAGCTCCCGTTTTGCCGAAACCACGCCGTGTTCAGGTCCATCATCAGCCCCGCCGTTTGGAAGTTCATGGACACAATCTGGCAGCCGCACTTCCACAGGTCCTGGGGGTTCATGTTGCTCGAGTCAATGCGCATGGGGTTGGGGTAGACGCGGGACAGGAAACGCTTGTTGTGGTTGACGAAGTCCCCGGGACTGTTCCCGGCGAGGTGCACCGCCAAAGTCTCGTGGAAGGAACACAGTTCCCACGGTTTCTGGCTTTTGGACGATGTTGCGAAGTCCGTGAAGCGGACCGAATGGCATAACGTTATCAGGTCGGAGAGTTCCCTCAACAGCTGGAAACGTCTGGGGGGAGGATTGGGGGAGTTGGACTGGGGAGCAGGTGGGACGGGCACCATCTTCTGCGCCGCGTCCTTTTCAGCAGCCCCGGGCGCCGCCATGCCGCTGTTGGCTGGTTTTATCCTCTGTAACACCTCTGCTCCTTCGTCCTCTTCGCTTACCTCTCCATTTTCCCCATCGGAGCCCGATCCCAGCTTTTTCCCTTTGAGGAGGATCCGATGCCTCAGATCGTTTGGCGACGGTAGATAGGAGGCTCCTTCTTCTGGCGAGTCTGTGCAAAGCTTCTCCCCTAAAATCCTGGTGAGATGTCGCAACAGCGCTTTCTGCTGTTGAAGCGAGCAGTGGTTCTCCACACACAGAATCAACGGATACTCGGAGGCCACGAATGCAAACCGTCCTATTGCTTCCAGAACACACCGCAAGGCCAGCGGTGGGGAGAGGGTGTGACCGGTACACACCACCGGTTCCCCGTCGGGCCCGTCCCAGACGTCCAGCTCCACACATCTGCAGCCCATCTTCAGGGCCCGGATGTAGCCGGAGATATCGGACGGCCCCCGGAACTGGTCCTCGATGAGGTAGGTGTTGTGGGAGGAGTTGATGTAGTAGTGGGACAAAGGCTGGGACATGTCCTGGCAAACGGCGTCGTGCTCCCGATCGAAGAGGTGGCAATCCGCCGAGGTGAGGTAGCTGGTGAAGCCGTCCAGTGACAAGTATCCCTGCTGTCGTCCCTCCTCCGACGGCTCGTGGCACTGGATGAGTCTTAGGCTGGTTTCTTCGCTCACCTAGATAGCAAAAACAAAACCATTCTGAGACAGAGAAATGACTACTTTTTCCATCCCAGTGTATTCAGCAGACATTTGGAAAGTCGAGTGTCTGTTTCATGCACTGATTAAGTAGAAATATAATTTAAGGGTTACCCACTTGAGTCATTCCCTGCTCAGCCTCGATGAACTTCATCAGGTCTTTGGTGTCCAGGAACTCCTTGTTGCTCGAGAACTGCACCAACAGAAAGTAGATCTCTGGCCGCGTGCAAAAGTCATGGAACACCTCAACGAACTCCTGCTTGGTGACCCTGTCATTCCAGTCGGTTGACTTTTTGCTGTGGTCCTTAAAATCCGATCCGTTATCAATTGTAAGACCTGTCTTCTCACGGACCCGCTGAAGCTCTTTAAACCGGAGCTCCACCTTTACACCGTTCACCCCAGAATTCACACTTTGTATGAGTTTAACGGCTGTCTGCAGGGCAATGGCCTCCTCGCCGTCCCCCTGACGGTCCAGGTCCGAGACCGAGGAGAACAGCTGCTCCAGCCAGCGCAGACGAAGACTGTCCTGACTGCTGGCAAGCATGTCCAGGGCATGTTTTCCATACTGCAGGAGATATCTGGACACAGACGAGAGGAGGATGTACAAAAAAGCTGCGGTTAGATACAACATTTTGTTCCAATACAGAACCACAGCAAGTCCCCACAATCAACACTAGTTGAAACAAGGTGAAAGGCATCAGCCCTAATCCTGACATGACACCAGAGACCTACAAATATGTGTGTTGCTTGACCAAACAACCTCTCTGCCAAAACTTGTTCACCAAAATGTTGATGAGACCAAGTAAACTGTCAATGTGTCAATGTTTTTCACTTTGAACGATCTGAACTATATTGTGGTGTTTTAATATATTGATGCCATTACACGTCACACACACAAAAAATTAATAAGTAAATAAATAAATAAAAAATGTATGTAAATATATATATAAATACATTTTTATTTTACTTATTTTCTTTTGTAAAAAAAAATATATATACATATATATTTAATTTAATTAATTTTTTTATTGTCATATACATATAATATATCGTCGTACCTCAGTCCAGTAACCCAGATGTTAGCTATTTCTGCAGAGCTGGCCACCAGGTCCAAGCTTTCATAAATCTCACCATAGATGATGGAGAAAGCACAGTCCTCCGAAATCTGCTCATAAACTCCGCTGGTGCGGAAGGTTTCCGTGTTGCGGCCCGTCCGTACCTTGACGCAAGAACAGCCACATAAATACAGTACAACTGAACCAGCCGCTCCAGTAATTCATGGCTTTGAGGCCTGAAATATTCATGTTTTGTTTTTTCCCCCTCTCACAATTACCTCACGTATAGATGCGAGTGCGATCCGAGCCTTGTCTGACTCTTTCTTTGACGGCTCCCAGCACAGAGCCTGGAGCCCCGCGTCCAGCAGGTAGTAGCGCTGGTAAACGCGCGAGTTGGGCCGGATTTTTTTCAGCTCGCTGCCTTCCACCTGAACGGAGGAGGTGCGGAATGAATTTGGTACCCGCGCGGATCGTTACAGGCACACAATCTCAAACCCTGTCACATTTGCTGACTTTCAACATGGCATGTGCGTAAAGGCCCGTAGAGCCGGCTGACCATGGCGTGGATGCAGTCGGCGGCGCTGCTGATCTTCCTCTCTGACAGACTGCAGCTGAAGGACACCGTCTTCTTCCTCTCCCGACCGGCTCGAGAGCCGTCCTGGACAGGACGGATGCAGGGATGACAGGGTAGGACAAATAAAGAGAAGGACAGAAAGGGGGGAAGGGGGAGGGGGGTATTATGGAGACGAAAAATACATCAGTCAAGGGACGGACGGACGGACAGGCAGTTATCTCTCGGAAATACTTTTTTTTTTTTTCTTTTTAAGCATGACAAACATTTCTCCAGCCCACAACCCAACTCAAAGGATTAAATGCCACGAGCTTACATAACCAGAAAGATTATTTGCTCTGCCGTGTTGGGCCTCCTCGTCCCAAGCTGTTATTGTTTTCCCTGATACCACGCTAAAAGCCTCGGCTTGCCCTTGCCCTTCACGACGACATCGTTAATCATACCTGACTGGACCGAGACGGCAGACTGCAGAATTCTAATTGTGCCCCCTCCATGATGACGCTGGGACACTCAATCAGTTTATCTGAGCGCACCATCACAGCTCATCCATTTGAGTCATTGGCCAATTAGATATCACCCCCACAAAGAGCACCAGCAGAAAAAAGAGAATAGTACGTGGGCAAGGTTATTCAATTATGTATTTATTAGCCGCGATAAAACCGAATCACAGAGCTAAATTAAGGTAGTTTAAGATAGGATAAGCAGGATAACGGCATTACAACTGATTAAATCCAAGAGGAGTCAATGGCAATGCATCCACATAATGTATAACACAAAAAAATCTACACACACACACACACACGCACACATATATCTATACGTTTATTGTCCAACTACGTTGCTGGAGAAAATACGAATAAAACAGGAAACCAGAAACCAAGACCAAAACCCAAAAACGACCTTAATAAAACACAGGAAACTGAAAAACAGAACTAAGAAACAAAACAAAACACTGGTCATGACATATATGCTCATAGATAGATAGATAGATAGATAGATAGATAGATAGATAGATAGATAGATAGATAGATAGATAGATAGATAGATAGATAGCTTTATGAAATACTAAATGAAGGTGTATCTAAGAGTATCTAATTGGTCCGGCGGGGGCAGATGATGAGCATACTCACAATTAGTCTGCACTAATCAGCATAGATCTGATTTCATTAAAAAAGGGCATCATATGAACCTCAAGAGCACTTGTGCCATTCATGAGAGTGGAAAGGAGTGAACCCTTCCTATAAAAGAATCAGACATCAAAGGCTCAATGTAGTCAGAAAAAGAGAGAGAGAGAAAGTAATAGAAAGAAAGGAGAAAGAAAAAACAGCTGTGTTTCATCTAAAGAATCAGAATTCACATGTGAAGAAGAAGGGAAAGCTTTATTCAGACATGGTGAGGATATTAAGCCTCAGGTGGAAGGGAGAGCGCCCCATCATCAGAAAGCCTCACCGAATCAATCGCCTCATTAGGGACGCACAAGTGTTTCCAGTCTCAACAGGTTTTTCTGAGACAGTGCGAGGAGGGGGCTCTAAAAATATCTCTGTTGCCTCTGGGTATGATAGAGTGATGGAGACAGATCGAGGGTGTGGACATGCCCGCTTTCCAATTTAACTGCACAAAGAGGAAGTGGAGGAAAGGAATAAGCCTTTCACTTTAATCCCCCTAATAACAAAGTAAGCATGTAATTAACTGCAAAACTTATGATCGAGCACTCCGATAGCTCATTTAAAACAGGCCGCATGCCTCAGTAACAACCCGGAATTATCTCCAAATCAAGCGAGAAGACACTAACACAACTAGAGCAGAAAATCTAAAAAGCTAAATCAGGGCCCCATCTGAAATTTGGGGCGAATATCTGAAATATTGTCAACTGCTCCCGATAAATTTCCCATTGCCCCTGAATGCAAAGACATACACTCAGACCTTTATAAAGCAGTTGTATCTATCAATTCACTTTCCTTTTTTTTTCTCACGCTCTGTCCTGGGGAGCATACGAGATTAATGCTAGCTTAAATCGATACCTCACGTCAGTGTGTGGGACATTTGGGGAATTATTGGCTCTTCTGTGGATGAATCGGCTCCAGTGGAATCTAGAGCCATCACATAAATAACCTGTTGTGAAACTCCTGTGCAACATAGAAAGGCGTTTTGATAAAGGAAGAGACACTGTCCATAACTTGTGTTTATAAAGAGGACAAACGCTACAATTCTTATTGAAGCTCGCTCTGCTGATATTGTTCAATTATCATCAGGGATGGAGGCTGCTGTGCGTGGTGGCCTCTGTTAGCCGCCGGCAAATGCGAGCGACTTTCAATAAATCATCCTTTCCTGAAAAGATTAAAGCACAAATCCCACATGATCCCGGAGGCAGATAAAAACATGAGCAACGTGCAAACAGGTGGATTTTTTCCACTCAAACAAGAGGCAGAGTGCTGTTCTACAGCGTAGGGGAGAGAGGCTTTTTTCTCACACAGAGCAAGACGAGTCTCCGAAACCGCTTCTTCAAAACAGGAAGCAGGCCATCAGCCCGTCACAGGCCGTTTCCTGTACCTCAGCTGAGAGTGGAGACGAGTGACACAAGAGGAGAGAGAGTGAAGCAGGGAGTGAAAGCCACATCACGGCTTCATTCCGATACGGCACTGGTTATTTTTAGCTTTGACACTGAACTCGGCACGTGTTGAGCATGCAGTGTGAACACCTCTGTAAAAAACAAAAAAAAGGGTGTTTTTTTCATGTTACAGCTTCTTTTTTTGTCCTACTTTGCCTAAAATACCAGAACTCATCTGGAGTCTCTACTCTCTCCAGATGAGACCACTGAAGGTCTTGGATGCTCGCTTGAAGGCGATAGAAAATTTAGCCTCATTAGTCCTGTTACATGCTAACACTAACAAAACTGATTCTGTTATGTGGGCGTTTCCAGTAAAAACTAACCCGGGGTTCACACCTAGGAGTGGCATCGCACGAAAATAAAATGAGAAGCTCGTGACTCTATGCAAATGTGTGCACCAAAAGAAATCAGAAAGATAGTGGCAAGTGCTACACGCTGGAGAGGAATTATAATTTTACAGCTTTTAGCTCGATTATGAGATAAAAATGCTAAGAGACTACCTTCAGACATAAGAACATTACCTATAAAATTTATATTCCAAAAAGATCTGGATAATTGTGGAACAATGAGATGGCTTTTTTCCCTGTTACAGGAGACTGACACACTAATTGAACAGATGGAGAAACGTGGGAATGGATGGAGTAGGAGAAATTGGTTATTACAGAGAGACGTGCATTACTCAAATGAGACAGAAAACAAAGTATAGAGAGCCTTTCAGTCTCTCGTTGTGTTTGGGTTTTCCTCCTGAATTCATCCGGGCCCGGTGCAGTCAGGACGATTCCTGACAGCGTTTGCGTACAACGAGCTTGTATCGCTAATTACGGCTTCTCAGAGTCGGCGGCGTGAAGACGTGGGTCGTTAGAGGACGGTGCCTTTGATCCGTTAATTAAGACGATAAAAGAATGAAGGGCGGTCGCCGGGCGAGGGAGGCGTAAATCGAAGAACAGAGGGAGGAAAATTGATGGGGAGTGTGAACAACGCGCGGCCTCGCCCCGGGCCCTGTGTGACAGCAGATGATTGATGCCTAACGGGGGGGGTTCACTCCTCCAGCCTCTCACCCTGGAGCACCAACCTGTGACTTGGACGGGGGGTTTTCGATTGTGAGATGTCAGTGAATGCATGTGAGGAAGAAAGAAGGAAAAAAGAGGATGGCGAGGAACTTAAACACCTACCTCAAGCATGATTCAAATAATGCAAGAAAAAGGGGATTGAACAAATTGACGGCCACCGGCTGCTTCAAACCAGCCGCCATTGAACTGCTGCTCTTAATCAATTCACAACATATTGGACTCCACACTATAGGTAACTATAGCAACAGCAGTGGCGCTTTATGCTTCGCCACCAGTGTTTCTGGCGTTGATGAGGGTTATTTACAAAAAACTGACGGAATTCCTTTTCATATAGTATATAGTATAGTATTTAAGAAGAAAGGGTACTCAATTACTTTCTCCTTGTTCACATGATCCTTTAGGTTTTGCAATTTATCATGGCTGGCACCAAAGTGATAACTCAAGCAGCCTCTCAGACACTCAAAATAACGTTGGGAAAAAAAATGAATAAATAAGAGCACCATATTTGTGAAGTCACATTGTGCATTTTAAGTCTGCCTTGCCTGTGCCTGACTGCTTTTCAATTCGGTGGCTTTGGAAGGTGGAAAGACGCCAGAGTCCCCGGAGAGAACCCACACATGCCTGGGGAGATCGTCGAAACAGCTTGGGAGATTTGAACTGGAAACCCTCTTACCGCGAGGTGACAGTGCTAACTACCGGATTTTATGGGAAATCAACAAAATCGCTATCCTGAACCTGTAAAATGTGGCACCTTTCAGCACAACCAGCGAAAAAGAAAGCTTCCGCCGCGCCTCCGTTTCTACGAATCTGGAGAGTGGCACTCTGAACGTAATGACAGCACGTTCCCAAAAGCAATTTTTACCATTCTTATGTCTATTTAACACATGAACCATCCTCCATTAGTGCACCCTCACAGTGACCAAGCACTGCAGCACCAGGCCCATCCAGCACTCACATTAAAGTGGAAAGGCTTATCTTCCCTGACCGAACACAAGAGCAGGATTCTCTCATATAAAATATAGGCTGACAAAGAATAAATCCATCCTCCCTTCCTTTCACACATATATACCTCACATGATCATAAACAGGCAAGTGAGCGACGACTCTCTTATGTGAAACAATTATTAGAGCTGCCAGCGTTTATGTAAGCTGCAAATGTTCTTTCGCCGCCAGGAAAACTGTAATTTCAAAGTCTAGACACGCTCAACAGGAGCCTTCCTCTGTGTACCTGACTTAATAACACACTATGGGTAACTACAACACTGTTGAAACCCTGCTGACACTTTAGTCAAAAGCCAGAGACGAGCCATAGAGAACCTGTACCTCTAAATCCTGATCGTTTACTTCATTACATTCTTAAGGACAGTTAAACCTTAAATTACTTGACTACACCCATACAATTCTTAGCAATTACTTTGTGCCTTTCTTAATTAGGTTAACAATCTTAGATCCTGTAAGATGAGAGTAAGAAATACTTTTGTCAATGCTACTGTCAACAGCTATTGCTGATAACGGGATTTTAAAGAGGTCAGTTTTAGGGTTATTCCCATATCTGAGGTTCCCCAACTTCCCAAAGGTTCAACTGGTGATTCTTTCCACGACTCCGGCCTCCACGAATTTTCTAGAGGTGACGCTTTTCATGTGAACCGATCACACGGACAATTCTTTTCCGTGACACTTATAAAGACAGAGCCTCCAGCTTTACAGTCTCATTTCCGTTGCTTGGTGTTGGAGGTTTGTTTGCGCGTGGGCTGCAGATGTCAGCAGGTGATGGATGAATACAGCAGGCGGAGCGCCGCGTGGTCAAGTCGGGCCGTAACAAAGACCGACGCTCAACGGAAAGTGTGGTTAGCCCTTCGCGGCCTCTCGACTGCTCGCTCTGACTAGAAGCCTTTTGCTTTTGTGGGGAACGGAGGGGCCAACGCTCTGAAGTCGAACCTCTGAAGTCCCAATTGCAAGCGTACACGCAAGAAAGAGACAAAACAGCATGTCAACCCAAAATGAAACAAGCAAAAAGTCGATCTGAAAAGGTCAACATGTCAGAGAGCTGACCGCAGTTTTAGAGGTATTCACCGGAAAAACAGGTGGTTAGATTCTACCTGATAGGATAGACGTGTGGTTCTAAGCCCCTATTTGGATTTTTATTCCCATCGAGGTGATTCTGTTCATCAGACATCAATCCACAGGAACAGAATCACCGCTAATGCCGGGTTGACGCGTCTAACGAAGGTGGAGTGATTAAGGGAGGAGGATTTTTAATCTCTGGGATTTATATGCAATCAAACAGTCAAAATAACAATCGGCGTATGAATGATTCAGACAGCTAGCACGCACGCTGACTCACGTCGGCATTAAGAAATAAGTCACTCCTGTCTCAATTACAACGTCGACAGGCGGGCAGATTTACAGGTTTCATTTACTTCTGCAGAATTATAGAGAATCTGCTGAGATTTTTCTAACAGCCTCCGATTGACTCGGATGTTTAATGATACTTTAAAATCCTTCACAGAGCCTAAATTAAACTTACTCCAGTTATAAGAATGAACCCAAAGTCTATGAGGCTGGCATGTTCTTGACAAAGTTCCTGTGATGTTTCATATCCTGCATCATTCTGTTTTTTTTTTATGTCTTACTTCTGGATATGAAACAAATAGGGCCTGGACTACTAACTGGATACTTAAACTGGTCTTTGTGAGGCCTCATTGTTGTTTTATATGCCTTTTTAATAATCTTGTTGAGGTTTGGGCTAACATAAAGACAGGAAATCATACAGAATCAGCATTTATCGTGAGTCGCAGGTCTTGAACTAACCTTAAACAGCATCCGGGAACAAAAGAGAACATGCACAATCTTCTGAGAAAAGGCCGGAATAAGACCAGGAAAGTTATCCCGTTAACCAGGTTTCCACTTTTGATCTGCTCAGGTTTGTCAGTGAGGGCTCATAGCAAAGGGGTACTTTAGTTTCTAATTTGTCCGCTTATTCTCTGTTGTGTGTCTGTTTGGTGTGGAAGCAACAAAAAGGAAAAAAATCGTTTAATATGTGGGGTGATCAATCACGGCTTCGGCTCGGAGCTGTGAGCAGTAATATTTCCTGGGGCTTTGTCACAACCAGCGAGGAGGCGGATTCTCCGCCTGAGCTGAGCGGGGCAGCGCTCACGCGGGGTGGGTAAATCGGTTTAAGGCCGGCTAAAGATGCTTATTCAAACTGCTGGAGGTGCTCAAAGCTGCTCTGACTCAAAGAACTATCATTCCCGGCTTCTTTGCCGATGCCTCTGCCTAACACATCCCACACGGTCTGAAAACCGCTCACGAAGACGTCCAAGTTACAGCCGTGTTCCGACAACGGAAAAAAAGCGAACCTACTTCTGTCTCATATGCTTGCTGTATATTCAACACTGGAACATTGTAATGCAAACTAACAGTCTGTCCGGGAATAACAAACCTTCCAAACTGGAGATATTTTCGGGAACGCTGCTTGGTGAACTGTTGTAGACCTGCAGGAGCTTATTGAAAACGCTCTCAAATAAGCATGCAAAGGAGAAGGCATGACTAACAAGACCTGGAAAACAGATATCAGTTCTGCCTGGCTGTGTCTGTGCATGTGTGTGTGTGTGTGCGCTTGTTCGTGTGGCCCCGAAGCGCTTATCTGAAACTAAGACAAAGCGAAAGGGAAAGATACGGGCTTAGAGTTGGAGGCCACCTGCAGCCGTGTGTGTGACACGTGATGATGAAGTGCTCCCCTTACCTTGGCTGAGAGGAACAGGAAACAACACAAACACACTGAATACGAGCCCCCCCCCACACACACACACACACACACACTGCTCGTGTTAAAAAGAGCCGGGAATGTCACGCTTCCTGTTTGTCCACACGGACTTCCACCGCGTGGAATCCTGAGCTTTGCCGTGGGGGTGATCTAGCAAATAGGGGCGTCTAAAGAAGATTCATGACTCTTAAGGCAGCAGATAAACGTCAGTCATTTAAGTCCACAGCGAGGGACTGCCTGCCTGGAATACAGAGGGGGGCTAGAGAAGCATAATTCGGCCCAGGGAGCTCGCTGACAAATAAACAAACAGCGGCGGGCCGCGCTCGTTTGGACGTCAATACGAAAAGAGTTGTGTGGACTACAGAGTGTGTGTGTTTTTCTCCCTCCTGCCCTTCCGCATCAGCATTTTTTGGGGTGAAAACGCTCTCCCAGTGTGACGTGTCATGCCAACACGGCACCCATTTCCCGCCATTCCCGCCTCCCTACGATATTTTGAGACGGCGAGCAGGCCCTGCGTGTGTGCAGAGAGGTGAGAACCGCCCGCCCGGTTCGGTTTTTCGGGGCCCCGGGTGTGTGTTTTTTCGGCGGGCTGCCCTCCAGTGAGAGCGACCCGTCACCCCCGGCTGTCTCGTGACTTACGAGCAGCGTTGCGACACGAAGCGCGCGAGGAAATTAGCCAACAGGCCGGCTTCCTGCCGCGCTGGGTCGCTGCCAGGCGTGATGACATGTTCTGCTAATCAAGTTTTTGCAGGCAGAGGCCGTGAAGACGCGCAGCAGTTAAGAATCAATACGAGGCCGCCCGCACGCCGGGAGGCCGCAACCATAAAAGGGCAAAAGCAGGGGATGACTTATTGATTGGAGGCTATTGATGTGAACGCTACTTTAAATTCTGTTTACCTCTGGAACCAAGGAAATCTGGGTTGTCCATACAAACATATGGACGCCCAGGCTAAAGGCAAAGGGGTGAATTCAACAATGAGCCACAGACAGAAGTCAGACATGCAGATGGCTTCTCTTTTTAGTTCCTCCTCTTCTCTACTGCTTCACGGGTGCATATCAACTTTAATATAAAACACCCACGTGTCAAAATCTTATGAAATCCAGATTAAGATTTGGGTTTTATGTTAAGTGAAGTCCGGGAAGAAAGAATATGAGACTGTTTTGTATCCTAAAGACGCAGAAAAGTTGAAGTACAGTTGAATCTGAAGGGGAAAAAAGCTAGACTGTAACTATAAATAGAAGAAATGACACATTTCAGATTATATAAAAAGCGCCTTTGTGCTATACAATGCCGAAAGTTCATGGGGGGGGGCAGACTCCACTGCATCCAGTCATTTGTGCCATTAGACGGCACACATGTTGCCACAGCAAAGAGGAGCTGAAATCCAAGGAAACATTTGAGTTTAACTGTTTAGACCATTGATCTGACCCAAAACTACTAAATAAAAATGTTGTTTTAAGGGCAGGTTGTGTCAGCTGTGATTTTTCTGAGCTGACTCCACAATGTGGGTCCATTGTGCACCACTGTTTGTTGTAAATGATCAAAAAGGAAGAGTGGACGGTTACCAAGGATGCTCTGTTTTCTCTTTGGACAACCGTTTACGCTGGAAACCAGGCAACAAAACAATCTGAAATTGCTGTTATTGTTGAAATTGAGCAGTAAAACCGAGATAAGGGTATAGTCTTCAGCCAGTAAGGGTCTTGATGACTGGGCTTTTTATTTGCCCCCCTTCCCCTCTGCCACCAGTTGTCACCTGTTGAGCAGCAGGAACGAAAAAGAATAAACTCTGCCCCCTGGCGGTGAAAGTTGTCATGACCTCAGCCAAACAAATCGCACCTTTAAGATCCAAAAAAAAAAAAAACGCCTCCACTCGAAATTTCCCAAGAAGCTCCCACACATGTGCCAAGATCCAGTGACTGGTGGTTGCAACATCCGACGCAGACTAACGAGGCTGACGGCGCGCTGTGTCACGCTGAGCAAACAGGAGCCTTTAACCGTCAGCCCCATCCAAAACCGGCGCTGGCACGCAGGAGCGCGTGAAAAGTGGGTTTTTATAGCAACTGGTTTTTATTTCTGCTTGATGGTGCTCGCTGTCGCCTATCAGGAGGCTACGACCCTCTGCTGGGTTTTGCATGGCTGCTGAACCCTCCGTAAGATTTAGCTCCCCTACTTTGCGTAATATTGGATCTAAACGCGGTCTAAACTGCGTCGTTGGGGGGGCGATTTGGTTCATTTGGTCCTGCAACTGTTCTCCGTGTCCCCTTGTAAGATATCAGAGCGAGATGCGTTGTTTTCTGTTTTTATTTTATTATTTTTTTTAAAGGAAATAACGGCCTACCTTGATCAGACTGCTGCGTCGAGGGATGGGTTTGGGAGCCGAGTCTGACCCCGCGTTTTCCCACGTCGGGGACTCGCAGCGGGGCTCCTGGGGGGGTCTTTTCACGGCGCCCGGCACGCCGCAGTTCCCGTTGGACACGGGCTCTCCGCGGTGCGCCTCCGCGCCCGCTGCGTCCCTCCAGCCAGCAACCGGTGGGCCGAAGTCGCTCTTCTTAGCTCTGAATTCAGCCATCGGAGACACTTTTATTTTTGGGGGGGGAGATTTTTTTTTCTGCTGCTCTCACGCAAGGCAGCGGAGCTCCCGAGGCGGCGGGGTTGCACACGGACGCGGACGTGCCATCGTGTGAAGCGGGCCGATGTGCGCGTCGAGCGCAGAGGAAACTTATCTCTCTCTCTCTCGCCCTCTCTCTCTCTCTCTCTCTCTAGACTCACCCACACCGGAGTGGGAGGCGACAGCGAGGACTCGACACGCTTTCTAGGTCCTCGCCAGCTCCACCACAGCTCGCTGTGCGCCTGCACTCAGGAAATCAGAACCACCACAGAGCTGCTCGTCTCTCCCTCCCCCTGCAGAGCCACACACTAACTGACACGGCGTGTGAGACATGACTTCTGTTCAACTTTACCCCCCCCCTTTTGTTTAATGAGCTGCTGTGGCCAAAAAGCCCTCAGCTGGCACCCAAACGTTACCTGAATGACGCAAGGCACTTCACCACTAAAATGGTACGATCGGTTTTTCTGACTCAATAAGCGTTGTTTCCTGTTTGTGAGAACCTCCATAAACTTCCTTCGGATATCTTGGTGCACAATCAGACCTCATTACCTTCGACTGGTTAACATTTCATCAAGCAAGATGTTTGCAATCCATAAAACCGTCACACACAATTAAGATAATCACAGATTTATCTACTTTAGGAACACGTCAGCTGGCGCGTAACTATGTTTGAAATCATGGGCGTGTTTGTTTTTCCCCCCCATCATAATTTGGCTGTTGCCATGTTGCAACCGTGCAAGTCAAACTTGGTGCAACATCCAGTGTCCCAAAAACGATGAGTCATTTCCAATGTCTTAAAGTCATTATAAAATACAGAGTCATACTCCGTCAGTAAGTCGTGGTGGGGACCTTATCTAAAGAGACAGGCGGTTCCTCCACTCCATTATCCTGTTCATTAAAATTGTGTCACAACAGCAGTAAAAAATACTTTGAGGAGGTCGTTTCTTGGAAAGAAAAGACTGAAAGTGTCCTGGTCAGTGAGGCCACAGTTGGACTGAACTCTGTTTGTGTACGTTTCTGACAGAACCTTAATCAACAGCATGCTTATCCCACACACACACACATAAATATATTTATCCTATAATGGGTGGGCGAAGGTACAGCCTCTGAATTTAGATGTCGGGTGGATTTATGCTCAAACCCCAAAGTGCTGACTGCAGCAAATATCAAGCAAAGCTGGCATTTATCCAATCACACATTGCCGGCAATGTGATATTTGCGATGCGATGACGTGAAACGTCCCCCTTTCACAAAGATTTGGTTGATTTGGGACATTTTTTCAATGATATAGTGCTGATATGTGGCATCCTGTGTTATACTATGCAGCTAGTGACAAATGAATAGTATAAATTAGGTTCTGAATGGCTGCAGTTTGTAATTGAGCCATGAATCTAACTGTCAAGACGGAAAATATGTTTTACTCTCCTGGAAGACTGTTAGCGATGGTTACAAAGGTATTTGCCATCAATCTGCAACCATGTTTATATGGATGGTCTATTATGGGACTCAACCTTTTACTCTGCTCCACTCACAACTTCCAGACACATTTATTAAACACCAGGGTTGCCTTTTTAAATTCCAACACATTTAGCTGCATCGATGGTTTTGTTCCTCAGAAACTCCAGAAATACAATGTATTCGTCATTGTGGGACCCAGGCAGTTTACTCATGAACACAGAGATCCCAGAAGGAACCAGGCTTGCCTTTGGTGCCATCTGGTGTTCTAACTTATAAAAGGAAATGAAAGTCAATAAAATATACTTAGTTTTTGTTCAAAGCTCAGACCAGGCATCAGTCAAAGGGGAGACTAAATACCATTGATGCCATGCAATGATTGTATATTAAAGAGTATGTTTGAGACATTCTATTCTAAATAATGAAATTTGGTCCTGTTGAAGGAGCAACTCAACAGGGCATTGTGTTTACATGTAAAGTCAACAGTTACCTGCCGACCCTAACCTTAACCCTAACCCTAACCCTAACTTCCTCTGTGTTTCAGAGGAAAAATCAATGCATCCACCGAACAAGTTTTGTTTTATAGAGCTGGGGAGGAGAATGTTTGTTCTCAAACCTTAATGGAAACTGTCCTGATATTTTTTCTGTGTGGGCAAACAACAGCATATGGTATCTAATGGATATCAGAGTAAATACGAAAAAAGAAAAAGATTAATTCCATGTGGATTACAGGTTGTTGCATCGCTCATCCCCGGTGAATTTGATGGTATATGTAAATCCAGACAGGCAGCTCAAAACTGACTAAACCGTATTTGAGTTCAGTTATCTAATATGTCGGCAGTCAGTCAAAGAAAGCATATATTTGAAAGTAGTTTTTTGGGGGGGGCTTTGATAGAAAAAACAACATGTCTTAATTTCTTGCAAAAACATGTATTTCTTTGGCGTATACAGTGTGGAGTGTGGAGCAATGGTTAATTCCTAGTCATCCAGCTGACAGAGGCAAGCTACACCACGGTTAATCCAGTGTTTCTGTGGCCTGTCAGAGGGCAGCTCGATGGACATTACATAGTTGGTAGAGTGCCCAGTGGTGGACAAGGTCCCCCGTCGGGCGCTGGTTTTGTAAACAGGACTCACATAAATATTCTCATGCAGAAACTTGGCCATTTCTCCTGGTTTGAGCTTAATGATGGGTAAAGAATCAAACAAAATCTTTGGTAAAGACTCCCCAATGACCATGTTTTGCCTGTCCCAGCGGGCCCCCTCCATGAAAAGGCCCTTAACATACGCGCCATCTTCTGCCTTTTCATCCATGTGGGTCTCCTCTTTGGTTACCTGGAACACAAGCAAGGTTGTGAAAATAATATTCCCAAACCGAATATGGCAAAAGGCTCAGGAATCAAATACATGCCTCGAATTCAAAGCCAATGTAGTCGATGGGGATGGTGTATTTCCGGGCAAAGTTCTGAGACACTCCAGTAAGAAATGACTGGGTGAAATAAAAGCCGGAGAGCCAGAAGACTGGAGGTGGACCGTTATCTATCCAGTCCTGTTCAGAATGACATTTGCACAGATATCAGTATAATAAAATTCAAAGTAATTTTCCTTGGATATGCATACAGAAGGCCTTTGAATTGTACATCTGTTATAAAAAGATAACTTCTTATGGTAGCGACAGTTCAAATATTCTCATGGTCCATGAGGCCCAAAGCCTTACTTGCAGGAAGTGTAGTCTGGCTAACAGATCAGTAACGTAGCTCCCCAGTGGTTTGAGAGAGGGATAGGACTTTGCTGCCCACATATTGGGCACTTTGCCAACCAGCATGCTGTTAAAGACATTCTCGAGCTCCGAAGACATAACGATCTGGCCCTTCAAAGCTTTGCAGATGTTTATCAAGCTGCTGCGTACCACCTCTGTAAGTCTAACACAAAGAGAGACAAAAGAATGATCAGTTAATTGAAAATGATTTCCCAATTTTCCATGTTCTACAAATGATTCATCTTTTCCAATTGGACATAATTGCATGGCAACACAAGCTGTCATTACCTATTAAAACGAATGATTTCCTGCCTCAACACAGTATTCATCGACTCTTCATACATGACTGGGTATTTGTCAATCACCATTTGTATGTCAAAATCTGCTGGCAGCTTAGACAAGATGTCCTCTGCAAGCTCCTCCACCACTTCCTTCAATGCACAGAGACAACAACACAGAGCTTTTTTTCTCTCTAAAACTAAATCACACATAGGGCTTTGCATAGGCACACATTTGCTTTCACTAACCGGTTAAGCATTAGCCAAAAACGCAAATGACAGAGGTTGACACAAACCTGAGGAGACTTGGCCCCACCCCCAGACTCTCTGGGCAGAGTCAGCAGCACTCCATCAAGGAGCTGGTTGGTCTCTTGATTATCCTTAGTTATGTCAGCGTTGCTATGGAGCCCAAACACACAAGGATCGGCACAAATGGGCAGGCTTCTAATGTAGTTAACGTATGTCTGAAATATAGACAATACATGATCACTTTCTGTATCAGGCCCGGATTAAGTTTCATATTGGATTATCACAACATGTTGTACTCCAATGGATCTACATATTCAGTGGTTAAAACAAAAAAACTGCTATATGCTTACAGAAAAACAAAAAACTGATTACTTTTTCAATGCAGACCTGTATTTAATGTTAAGACACCTCTGTAACAATTCAGGACTGAAGGAGGTGTATGCCAAGATTACAGCGGAGTATTAATCAGAAATCAATCAGAGGTCTGATCGTACCTGATAAGGTCCATGAGTAGGAACATAATACAGATTTCCTTCACAGAGATTGTAACAGTCCTGCTCAATCAATTCCCAATTGTAGAAGATGGACAGGAGGGAAAGCAGCAGGCGTCTGTCTTTGTCATCCGTCACCCTGCCACCGTAGTTGCACTCACCTGACAAAAAATCATTCCAACTTATTCAGGGGTTCATATGCACTACTTATGTCTAAGCAAAGGTGTAGGAGCAAGAACATTTGTGATAGAAGATAAACAAAAAAACATACTTTCCTTCAGGATGATTTACAAATTCATAATATCACCTTCCTTCATAAACTCTGTTAATTGTTTCTCTTATGACTTAACAGCTGTTAGATACCTGTAAGATATGTGAGTGCCTCCAGTGGAACCTCAGCATACTCATCCAGGAACATCTGGATCTGCCTCATACTGATCCGCAGGTCAGACTCGTTAAATTCATATGGAATATTCCATCCTACATTAAGAAAAGGGCCAATTTAGCAGGGTATCCTGTTATTTCTGCAAGAAGTACAAAAATGGAAAAACAGAGTAAATACATAGAAATACTTGTATGTATTTCTCACCCAAAGGTCCAAAGTTCCTCCTCTCCTGCACCAGAGCATGGAAGAAAGTGAGACCAAACAGGAACTTCTGCCAAATGACTTGTTTCTTTGAGCTGGAAAAGAAGTCTGGGTCAGAGATAGGATGGCTCAAATAGGAGCGCAGCAGGTTGGCTCGGATTCCTTTTGGGGGCTCGTTGGTCATTTTCAGCCCATTCTGCAGGATACTAACTGGAAACTTGTCAGATGGGTAACTTGTTAACCACAACCTGAGAAAACAAAAATAATTACTTTAAACATTACATTGATGCAATATGCAACTTTTAAATCAAATGAGTGTATGAAGTATCTCTAAATGACCTAAAGTTAGGATGTGTGTTTTCTGGGGTGATGATTTCTTCACAGATCATCTCCAAAGCAGGCATCCAGCTGGTAGCCAGGTGGCAGTTCTGTAGTACCACCCAGGTCCCCTCAGTGATAGCTTTGTTAATCATCTGAGCTGCGATGGGTCCCTGACCCTGACCGAGAGAAATGGTTTGGGTCTTACTGCCCCCCATTTCTCGGTCATCTGCAAACTTCAGAAGACCTGAAAATATAATGTAGAGCTTAATTTTCAGTATTTTCACACCCAAATTGAAAGTTTTCCCCACCACTGTAAATTGAACCGCAGACTAACATTGTGGTACGAAGCTAAAATGTTTGAAGACGAAAAGAAAGACACACTGTGTGACTGATCGATCACCTGCGGTAGGGTCTGATCCCGGTGACAAAACAAAGATGAGGGGAGAGCAGGAGTTGGAGTCTTTGTAACTCCCTGCCAAGTCGAAGGTGGGTGGTTCAATGTAAGCCTGCCCCATGTTGTCTACAATGAAATCCTGCACAGCTGGAACAAGTTTATCTGGCCTGAAGCATCTGATCACCACCATTCGGTCGAGACCAACCAAGTTACTCCACTCGTCAGGCAGCTGTTCCTCGTGAGGCTTCCCTGAATCATAAAGGTTCTTCCATTTGGAGGTGTTCTTTTGGACATGCATGAAAAATCCAGCCAGGTTTGGAAGTTTGGAGGCCCTGACCACCTCTGACCAAGATTTGTCAGTCAGCCACTCTGGGGCGGGGTTAGGGTGCGGGTTGTCCAAAGCGATGCCACCGGTGAGGAGGAAACGCCACACTTGGTCCTCGACTTGGCCCTTGCCCTGCATGATGCCGACAGTGAGCAGAAGAGAGAAGAGCAGCTTGTCCTTCTCAAACAGGGAGCGGCACACATTATTGTAGATGCTGAGGGTGAAGTGCTCCACAATGTTGTCGATTCTTTCAGACACATTATCACTTTTTCGACTGTCGGAGATGGAACAGAGGTAGAGGTTAATGAACCAAGTCAGGGAATACTGGTACATGGGCTCGATGTTAGCCATTTCTGAGATACAGAAGAACAAGATGGAGGAGTGCTCGGCAACTGGACGATAGCCCATACGTGTGTCATCTATCTCTTTTTCAGTGACACTTGCTATTTTCTGCTTCTTTGAGATCTCCTCAGAGAGTATTTTGGAGGATGATAAGATCTTGATTGCAGTCTCATCCTCCAGGATGTTCCCCTCAGAGGAGGACAGCACCTCTAAGATCTGGTCCTCAATTTCCTTCAGCTGCTTGCTGTTGGCAGCGCTCTCCAGAATGAGCTGGTTCTTTTTCTCCTCCAGTTCCGGCTTCTCTTTGGCTGCTACCAGCCCTAGAAGCTGGTCCTGTAAACCCTGTGGGGTGATCATAAAGTTTAGCAGGCAAACTTTCACAGCCACTTCGGGGAGGTAATGAGGATTCCTCAGTCCAGTGGTCATGTAGAACAGAAAGTCTTTGGAATATTCTACAATATTCTCTCCTATTTTCATGTACTCCACACCCTGCTGTTTGAAGGTCTGCTTCAGCAACACAGGCTCAAGTACTGGATCTAGCTCCTCTCCCACATGTTCCATAAGGACCGGAGTCCCAAACTGGATGCAGTTTTCTAAGACCCTCACATAGTTTCCATCGGACTGTTTGATGACAGCAAGCTTATTTGCTTTCTCCATGTTTTTGATCCACTTGTTGGCTTGGCCTTGCGGATCAATCATCAGGGGCCAACGACGAGAGTTGAACACAATGATGCCGTTGTCTGTGGAGAAAGAATCCACTGGCAGCCCAGCAATCTGCCAAGCTCTGATGGACACTTGGTTACCCAATGTGTTAGTGAGGGCGAATTCCTCTGAACAAGGGATTTTCTTCTCCTGGCAAAGCTTGTGCCACTGCTCCTGACAATCTATGCGGTAATCAACGGTGAAAGCTCCAAGGTAAGACACTATTCCAGACGAGAGAAGGATGTCACCTGTTAGATTGATGTATCTGTAGGTGGGAAATACAGTCTGATTAATATGAAACCATAGCCATAGCAGACTACTCATTTGTTAACAACCTATAGCAATCTATGTCACATTTTTATTCTTATTTACCTAATCCCAAGTAGCCTCGCAGCCTCTGTCCACCTGTCTTTTTCCCCACCTAGTCCTCCAATGAGTTTCTCTGCCCTAATCAGCTTCTGAGAGCACAGTTCAATATTGTCCTCCAACTCTTTCTTCTTCCTAATCATTGCAGCCAAGTCATCATTCAGGCTCTGCAGTCTGTCCACAACCGTTTTCAGTTCAGCTCTCTTCACAGACAACATTTCCATCTGCACAGAGAGCTCTTCTTCAGCCAGCTTGAGTCTCTCCTTCTTGGGGGCCACAACCTTGGCCACTCGCTCGTACACTTCCATTGCCCGTACCCATTTACAGAGGCCCTCACAGGCAGAAGACACATTTTTGATAACTGAGGGCTGAAAATCAGGATTGTCAATAAACTTTTCTCTGATTCGTTTGATGTAAGGTCCAGGAATATTGTCTTTGTCGTAGGCTTTGAGATTATCTAGAAACTTCAGGTCTCCAAGGAGCTTCTTAGATGGGCCCCAGAAGTCCTCCACCATCTTACCTGCAAAATGGTTATTTTAAACAATAAGATTCGCAAGTGTATATTTTAAAATGAAATTATTTTTAATATGAATGATAATCTGTAGAGATGAGTAGGTCAATGTTGAGATCCTACCTGAGCCACTGGGATCGGGTTTTCTCTCCGGTTTGATGCCTTTCATGACACAAATGGACTCCATGACCAGCTTGACTAGATCTGGTGGGTTCTTCATTGACTTAACTACTGTGATGTCCGAAGGTTTTAAAGTGTCCAAGGCTGAAAGGGCAGCGTTGAGTGCAGGCATTGCCTCAGCCAGGTCTCCCTCACACTCATCCTAGAAGAAATCCAATGGTTCCCAAAATGAATGGATACATATGCACAAACCAAATTACAGTTCTCTGTGATTTGATCTTCTTTTTAAAAAAGCAATCAATTCTATGAATAAATGGAAAAACATACATGTGCTACTTACCTTAATGGCTTTGGCTGCAGCTGCTGCTTCATTAGCCACTTTCTCATCAGCAGACACAAGCTCCTTCTTAGCATCTACCTCCACTGTCTCCTGCTCTATCTTGACCATCATTTTGTCTGTCTCAGCAGAGGTCTGGATGAGCTCAGGCTGCAAGGCTGTTAGCTCCTGTTGCATCACTGACACCTTTTAGCAGATAACAATGACATACAATAAGTGGGGAAAACACATGTTTTGTTGAATCTCGCTTGAAGGTCTTGAAAATCTCTGTGACCTGAGATGCTGCAAATTCCAATTTCTCGAGGCCAACGATATAGCGGTTCTTTGCAGTATCCACTTGATTCCTCTTAGCTGTGAGAAGAGTCTTGAAGGTGAGGATGAGTTCGAGGTAGGAGGTGGGTGTGACATAGTTGTGCCTTCTTAATGTGGAGAAGTATTTTTCAGACATTTCCCTGACACTTGTCTGAAATGTCTTGCACATCTCCACCACTCTTTGAGGCACAGAGAAAAGAAAAATTATGACTAATTTTGTGGCTCAAAGTAAGTAAAATCCATGTCCAAGAATACAATTTTTCTATAAACTCTTACTCCAGTCTGATGTCACTCTCCATTTCCACATCTTCCAGAAACTTTTGAGCCACCATTTCCAGAGCGTCATTGGGCCATGCATGAAACCAGTCAATCGTGCAGCAGTTGATCAGAGAAGGGAACATCCTCAGGCGGTTCCTAAATGCATCACCAATGGGACTCATTGCTGTTAAACAAAATGTCTAAAAGTTACAAATACTTGATATAATCCAAGTCAGAGAGGTATGTGTAAAATAGCCTACCAAGCACAATGTGAAGGTTGGCTTTCACACGGTCAATGAAGTAGTTATACACAGAGAGTGGAGTTGAATCTAACTTTTTTCCCTCCATTCTCGCGATGCCCTGTGCTTTCTCAATGATGTCAGCACGCTCATCAGGGGCAAAAAGGTTGGGCACATCACCCGTGTTAAGCAGCATGTCGATGTCTTCTAGCATGGCTTCATCTTTGATTTGACTGTCATTGAAGAGAAATACAAGGCTCTTTCCCTCAATACCTGCTTTAAGCATAATTCGTTTGAGGTCGTCACGCCACTCGGACAAGCTGTAGTTCTTGGTCAGCTCAATCTGGAACAGGACGTAATCGTTGATAAATGTGCCCAGTTTAGTAGCACTTTGGCGTCCGGAGCCCCCGATGCCAACGAGCAACACGTGACCATTGTCTTGTTTCAGCACACGGCAGATGCGGGAAATGTGCTCGATAGCAAATTTGAACATCACAAGGGACATGGGTGCCTTGCTGCAGCTGTTGTATTCACTGAGGTAAAACTCCATCACTTCTTGCAAGGCATTCAAGTCTGTGATCTCGTCATAGGCTTTAGTGTCAGAATCAGGTTTGGAATAGTCGCCAAAGAACAAGCTACGGATGCTTTCATCTACTACTTTGCCGTCTGGGCTGAGGTGGCTCAGGAGCTAGGAAAAACAGCATAAGGTTGCAATTAAACACAGATGCTATGATTTTAACTCCGAAGAGCATCATTTATAGTTTGCAAGATGGATTCAAATTGAACATTCCATTTCCATTATATTTGTTGACAAGATGATGAGGTACCTTTTCCAAACTCATCTTAAAGAAGTTTGAGGTATTTTCTTTGACAATGGCAAAAAATGTCTCTTTATCGTCAGTGTCAATGAGTCTGTCATAGAAAACACGATAGACCTCGTGAATCCACAGGCGGATTAGTTTATCGCCATCCTGAAATAGTGAAAACCCAAAACAAGCATAAAGGAGAGATGCTAGGCTTCACTTGCTAATTTCTCTGATTTGTTTCCTCTTTGTCTTACTTGCATGTGTGTGTTTGGAGCCAGGAGCACACCCCGTATCACTCGAGCAAAGTCTCGCAAGTTGAAGATGTAGTGGGACTTTGATGGAGTAGGGAGAAAGCTGTCAATGGTGTCCTTGTAAACAGACATGGTGGCCTGGACCATGATCTTGCCCAGCCTAAAACAAAGTCATGTGTTCTTGACAAAGCAAAATCAGTATTTTTTTCTGGTTTATAATTTGTAAAACATAAAAACTGTAACTATATGAAATGTTACCTGTAGAAAGATGCCTCAAACCCCTTGCTAAAGTGCCAGTCAACAATAGAGCTGAATATCTTGGTTAGTGTTTCATCGTCAAAGCAATCAATGGAGATGATATTCAAATGACGTGTGAAACGGCCTGGGGATGCAAACATTTAGTTGAGTCATATTAGTGTTTCTTACTTTTATACCATAGGAAATTAGTATTCAGTTGTTCAACACACCAGTAATGTCATTCTTCCCACCACCAGGTGGTCCCATTGCAGACATGAACAGGACATCCACTATGTTCTGCCTGGATGTGTCTTTCTTGTCATACCAATGGCGGTGGTCAATCCACTGTCTTAAAAGCTCAATGGGGGGCTGAGCACCATATTTCTCTTTTGCTGGCATGTTCAGATCATCTGTAGAGAGTAGGAAAAAACACTGTCGCAAAAACATCTGTCGCAATATGTAAAATCAAGATGCAGTAATAAAGACATGGTAAGCATCTTTACCGACAAAGACGATGCACTTCTTTCCCACTGGGGGCCCAAAGACACCCTTTCTCCTTCGGTCCAGCTTTGTCATTAGGATGTCTTGGGTCTGATTAGCTGAGGTACGGGCTGAAAAGTTGATGCAGTTGGGTGTGTATTTTTCCTTAGGCAACTTTACCAAGAAACTCTTGTTGATGACAGATTTGCCTGTGCCAGTGGGTCCCACAAATAGCATTGGTATTTCGTGTGACAGGTAGGTATGCAGGAAAAATAGCTGACGAGCTGTGTCCATGGTGGGAATTATTAGGTCTGACACCTGGTGGGGAAAAAATATTTATCCAACATGGGAAAACTGTTATCACAGAAAAGAGTGACATACTCACATTAGCTCCAGGTGGTATGACATTCTCTTCTTTTGTGATTGAATCAGTCCAGATATTCCACTGTCCCATTCCATCCTTTTGGAAGTAGTAGTCATAAACAGTGCCTACCAAATAGTAATAACGCAATTATACATAGCTTTTAAAAAGGGTGATCAATTAAATTGTGCGCATAATTTTTGTTGACACTTGTAACCTCTCTCGGGAAAGACGTTGTTCTTTTTCAGTTTGATGCTCTTCGGGCGAGGGTGCTCATCATTCATGTCCGCAATCAGAGTGCGAAAGAAGACATCAAACCTTTTACGTTTGTCTCCAGTGATGGTCCCCCCGAGAGACCAAACAACCGCAAACAGAAAGAGGCCCTGTAGCCACATTGTTATCTGCTGGCTTGACATATTCTGTGTACCACTGGTTTCTGATGAGGCAATTTCATCTGATAGCGACAAAAACGTTAAGACAAGTACAGGATTAGCAAAAAAAAAACAACCTATTTTTAATTTCTTAACTAAATGTTTTTGTTACTAACCCATCAAGCAGGTATACAGCTTCATTAGACTGTTGGCCAAGTGAATGGGAGATGTTTGTACCACAAAACGACACTCCCTGTCTATAAAGTTCAGACAAGGCTGAACTAACCAATCAAATAGGTCCATGATCTAAGAGGGAGAATAAATCAACATGGGAATATAAGACATATATATGTAAGCTCTAAGGGTGGCAGCTGCCATAACTGGCTTTGGGGTGATCCATCAAGACATACATAACTGTGACCTCACCAGTTGTCTATGTTCTGTACCCAGGCTATTGGGCAATGTGTTCATGTAGGAATCTCTTAAAGGAGACCATCCAAGCTGGTGAGGTTCCATGTAAATCATACCACACCTTCAAAGAAACACAATAAAGGTCAATGTTCTGGCTTTCTATTAATATGAAATAGCGACGAAGCATGTCATTTTGTTACTTACCGACTGACAGTAGCAGGAGAGGCTTGCTCCAGGTCAGCAGGTTCAAAGATCAGACTCATCTTTGAACTCATCTGAATGATTTCACCACTCATCAAACAAAGCTGGAAGAGAGAAGAAAAACTTCTTGTTTGAAGATTGCTCCTCAAAGGTAAAGCTATAACAAAACAACAAATGCCGAAAAGAGTCAGATGCCAAAAAAGAAAGATCATGTACCTTCTTGTTGTCATCCAGTACAGTATTCATGTTCTCAATCCAGACAGCATCGATTGGGCCATCAAAGATGATCCACTGACGATCTTCTGAGGTGGAAATAGCCTGATCTCTGTAGGTGGTGGCCAGGACACCATCAGACCATTCATGACTAACGGGATCAAAGCAGCCATACAATTGGCCCATGGTGATGGCCTTGGGATTGATGATAGAATAATTCACAGCAAACTCCTCCATCAGATTTTCTAAATAAGGAAAATTTCGAAGCATAAAAAGTTAAAAACAATAAAACAAATAAAATTAAACTCCAATTTAATTAGACACATTTAAAAAAGAAACCTTCAGTTTCATTAATGGATTACGTTGTCTAAAGCAAAATGCAACTAAAGAAAACGCTTTATAAAAATCAATTTCTTGCCTTGATAAAGGTCGCTGAGGGCAGCAGCAAGAACTTTGTAAGCAGAAGTTTTTCCTCCAAGGGGATCTCCAACAATCATAAAGCCATGGCGTACCAGCATCATCTCATACACCTATAGACAAAGGTAGAACTCAAATCATGAACATGCTTATGTTTAGTTCAAACTATCCTTAGTCTTTAGTATCAGAGAACAATGTTATTCAATACCTGAATGATTTTTCCAATAAACCAAGGAACAGCCTGGAGGTTGAGCTTTGTAATGTTGTCATTGAGTGCTTTCAGAAGCAGATCGTAGTCGGGTTTTGGAAGGACAACTCCAGGAAATAAATCAGAGATGATTCCCTGTGAGAAGATGCAAAAGGTGAATAGGTTATTTTTTTATTTGGAAGAAAAATTAGGTGAAAAAGTTAGGAAAGATTCACAAATTTGTAGGACATCAATGGAAAAGGGCCATGCTAATATTACTATGAACCAATTTTAGTATATGTGCTCCCGAAATAATAAAATCATCCATCCATTCATTTTCTATACTGCTTATTCCCAACGGGTTGCTTATTCCCAGTGGGAGCTATTCTAGCTGACAACGGGCAAGAAGCGCGGTGTTATAAAATCAGTAAGCATGAAATCTAATGAAAGGCTAAAATGAAAAAAATAAAAACTTGTCACCTGGAACAGTGGCACATCCTGTGCCAGAAACTTTGCCATGTTGACATCCATTAGTGCCCTAAGCAGCAGCACACTCTCGTTCTCCTCGGGGTACTTAAGCTTCAGATTCCCTGCTGCAGTCAGCACAGACTTCACGGCACGCATACCATAGTCATAGTGGAACTGGGAAGATAGTTGCTCAGAGCACAAACGATAGGTGGCCACGATCTTCTGAGCAAGACTTTTGTAGAAATTTTAAAAAATACAAGTTAAATAACCAGTTCAGACTTATGACATTACATCTTCACTAAAATGGAAAAGATTTGTTTTTGTTAGTTATACCTGCGAGATTCAATGAACCCCATTGAGTACAGGGAGATCTCTCCAATGAGACCATAGTCTGGCACCATCATAGCAACGGTACGGAAGAGAGCCTAAAGAGAACATGAATTTGACAGGCAGACACCCAGTTTCAGAATCTTAGTGTTTACAGTAGGCTGCTATATTGTCTATAATCGCAAACTGTAGATTTTCCACCAAATACATTTTGTTGACATATACCTTTAGATTGTCAGGCAGCTCAGCCCTGCCTGCATAACCAGGGTTCATGGTGATGAAGACAGAACAGGTTGGGTTGAGGGAAAGCTCTGTACCCTCAAACATGAAAGTCTTCAGATCCTTGGCAACAGCCTGTTGTATACAGAGTACTTGCTGAGCCACCACAGAGAGTACCTCCACCTATGACACAAACATACAGTCATGATGTAACACTGTCTGGGCAGGTAATCTCTATAATACATCAAAAATACATTCATTAAAAAAAAGAAGGTGTTTTTAAGTCTGGAACTATAACTTTTGAAATGGTACAATGCTTTCTTAATTTAGAGATCAACAACAGATCTTAGATTAATTTAATATCTTTTGAGGAAGCGAATAAAACCATGCAGTGACACATTAAGTAGACTTGATTCCAAATCCACGAGGATGCTATGAGGATTTATCTGAGAGGCTTAAGACAACAGCCAAGCATAATCAGGAAAACTGTTTTTTTTAAAGAATTAATTGTTTTGTTCATCCGATTATCTGCCATCAACATGTAGAGTTCATAATCATAAATAAAAAGAATAGCAACGCTCACCTCAATACGATTGAACTCATCAAAGCAGGCCCAAGCTCCAGACTGAGCCAGTCCTTTGAAGAACTTACTCATGGCCTTGTAGTCCAGACCATCAGAGCAGTTAAACACCACACACTATAGAAACAATTTATAGATTTTAAACAGGTACTGAAGAAGTGAGAATTTGTGTCATCATCATGGTACTGCGGCAGTTTTTGTGCACCTGTTTAGCCAAAGCTTTTGCCAGATCCTTTGTGGTCTCTGTCTTGCCAGTTCCTGCAGGGCCCTCGGGAGCTCCTCCTAAATTCAACTTCAAAGCTCCCATAAGCGTCCTGATATGTCACAAATTCAAAGATTTCTTTTTTAAAATTTGAACAGCAACATCTCAAGATTAATCAAAATTAATTTTGCCATAGTGCAAATATTTACAGGCCACCAAATATTTTAACCTGAACCATGGACTGAATAACATAAGTAACCTGTAGCAGCGATCAGTTAGAGGGGTGATGACCAGGCGGGGAGAATTTCCCAGATATTCATAGCCATATTTCAGGCAGGTGGTAATCATCCGTAGCATCACTTCTCCGTCTTCCCAGAAGTAACGCAGTTGAGAAATCCAAGCAAAGTCGTTCAAGGAGGAGATCCGGTCGTTTGCCAGTTTTGCCACAACATCTCGAGCTAGCAGAGGGAAATATCAACTTTTGTGCTAACTGACTCAAAGAGAACACATTTGGTCTCCATCAAATAGCTGTGAATCTTGGTACCATGAACGTCTATCACAGTGAGTGCCCCAAGCGTCATCCTTGCCCCCCCTGGTAGTTTCCCTCGCACCAGTTCCACAATGTCAGCTATCTGCTCGTTGCACTTCTCCACATAGGACTATGGTAATAAAAAAAAATCACAAGCATTAGACAAAATACATATTAAATATGTAAACATTTTTAAGTATTTTGTTTGAAATCATTTAAAAAGACAAATGCAGATGGATCTGAAAACTGACAGGCAGAGAATTGGTCTGGATGGCTTCAGACACTTCACTAGTCCAAAAGATGGAGGAGGCACAAATCACAACTTGGCCAGGCCACTGCAACACCCACTTTTTCCGGGGCACCTGCGGGAAAAGAAAATAAGATAAAGTATTATATAAAACGCAACATGAACAAGAGTATTAGTGAAAATGTTGTCCTCCATAGATTTAGCTATGATTGTTGTTTTTTTACTTTTAAAATTGTAATTTATTGCAGAAGCCAACACTTGCACATGTTGAGATTTAAAGATAAAATACAGACAAAAAAATTTCCAAGTACCTCTGCATACTGAATCACTCCTTGATGAATGACATGTAGCACACTCTTGAGCATCAGTTGCTCCACTTGCAGCAGCCACTTCTCTACCATACCCTAGCAATGGTAACCATTCCAGTTTTCAACACATGTGCAGTCTGTCCACTGCACTATGTCCAGTGAAACATTAAGAATTACAAGTACATAAACAAGGTCCATACCTTTGCATCGGCTGGATAAATCTTTTTAGTGAAAGGCACACTTTCCTTTTCAGAGCTGATCATTCCAGTGATCTCCATGTCCTCAGTAAACTCTAGCTTTGCGATACCTTCAAAGCACTTCTTCAGGTGGGGTTGTACACACAGGGGGTCTTTGGTCTGTGACAGAATCTCCAGCAGCTCATCATTTGAAAGAAAGAAGAATCTGGGAATATGATAAAGACGGCATCAAAGGTTGAAACACATCTTTTCAAGAAATGTTAAAGGGTCTAGTTGTTGGCTCATATTGCAATGACAGTGACCACAAACTTACCTCTAAGATCCTAAAGGAGCAGATTTTAGATTTTAAAAAATTACAACATTTGAATGAATTATAAGGAACTATTAGGGTATTTACATATGATCTAACCTAGGAAAATAGAGCCTCTTCTTTTCCAAGTAGGTGTTAAGGCCTTTTTGAATGTCATCTAAATATTCATTGGACTCTTGCAGTCGTTCTAGCATGTTAGGTTGGTCCGTAGCCACTAGAACGCGTGTATCCTTTACCTAAACCAGTGTAACCACAAACAATAGAGTGCATTAGAATCAATGGAGAAAAATACAAAAACTTGCATGTGCTGTGGATCTTACAGCCACTGCGATAATGTCCTTCCAGTACCCGTCAACTATGCCAAACTTGCGGCCCTCCTCAGGCATCTGAGCAATGATGTCCGCTGAGCTGAAGATGGGTTCAAGGTAGAGCCACGTAGCCTGACATTTCAACATGGCATCTAGGATGTCCTGCATGCTCAACAGTTTATCCTCCCATTCCTGAGAAAGAAAAATAATAACGACAGGCAAAAACAGAGTTCGATGTAGCGACAGATTTGCATAGACATGGGTTATTGTATATCACTTAGAGGGGCAAACAAGAGTAAAATGGTGTTTTACAATATTGTGCATTACCAGAGCGATAAATAGTAAAGAGACGTGTAAATTAAGAAGAATTTCTGTAGATTGATGGAAATTATGAATAATCACTCAAATAATTCAATGGTTCAAATCTTGGTCAGGCATTAAATCAAGCTTATAGTGCCACCTGCCAAAATCACTTCTTAAGCATAATCATTCATGTAAGTAAATATTTAATTCCCTAACCCTAATGACTTTATTAGAAACCCAGGGATAAATGTATATGTAAGACTCACCTTACATTCAGCCTCTATTGGCTTAATAAAAGGTGAGCCTCTCATAGTTTGTGTCTTGATGACGTGGTCATCCAGAAGAACTTGAATGTCATCCACTGCTGACACAATTTTGGTATTCTGTCAGAAAACAACACATAAAACATTAAAGTCACGCTTAAAGGGGACATAACTACTGACAATGTTTAAACATCTCACGACATACAGTATCTCTGTAGGCGGTGAAGGAAAACTGTAGGCCGGCCCATTCTTTTCTCATCTTCTCCATTGATTTTTCTAGGGAGTACTCCTTGCTGGCTGACGCTCCAATCTCTTCCAAACTAGGTCAAATGCAAAAAGAAAAAATCAATTACATCTTCATTAAAGCCGTCCTTTAATCTTAGTGCTTTTGAGCATGGTAAGAAGGAGGTGAAATGTACTTTTGAGAGAACGTGGCAAGCCCGAGATCCAACATGCTATGCAGAGAGTTGTACACTTCTGGTCTGACATCGAGGCCCACAATGCTGCTGATCTAAAAGCAACACAAAAAAATTAATCATTCACATCATCCTCACACTGCAGGAGAGAGGCAGGACATTACACCGTAACACTGACACATCTTTTTGTTTCATCTGAAGTAATGAAGCTTATAAATTTGAGCACACCTTCTCCCAGTGGCGATCCTTCATCCCAGGATTGCAGATGGTCACAAGAATGGGCAGGTTCTGCTTGAATTTGTCTATCTTACTTTTAAAGCTTTTGGCCACACGGCAAGGCCCAAAAAGATTCGAGAAGGTTTTTGTTAATTTATGTGTTGTCCTCCACATAACGTCCAACTCCTCAGCGATTTTTTCAGCATCCAGGTGCAGGAAAGGACCTTGAGGTTACAGCAGGTCAGTGATAGATTTGAAAAAGATGTGTATTTCTAAACATATATGCCATTTAGATTATTTAGAAAATATCATATGCAGTGCGGTGTGTAGTGTTGCCTACCATCCATCCATACTTCTGACATGGTGTCAAATTTCAGCGCAGTGTTCCACAGCTGTTCATATGGTATTTTATCAGCAATCAGGATTTGGAGCATTGGGAACTGGCTTATTTCCCTGTCCAGCAAAGCTTGCTCTTTGTTGATTTCCTGTTTAAAGATAGCATTAGTTACAGGTACCTTTCATTTTCGAGCAAGCATAACTTTCAAAAAGAAAAAAAAAATTCTTCTGTTATGAAAACTATTTATTCTGCTTATGAACTTTCTAATCTTACCTCTAGCTCATTAACAGCAGCCTCCAAACTGGCTGTGATCTGAGCGAGTTTGGCCACATTGTTCTTCATCTCCTCCATTTTCATCACATCCTTCTTCTTAAAAGTCTGTATCTCTATGTCCAATTCCTGCAGTGTCTGGTCAAAATCATAGACCCTGTGACAGCCAAGAAGAGATTTGACAAATAATCGGCATGTTCAGTAATTACCTTTGGTGACCAAGAAACACAGCAACGAATGATCTGGAGTCTGGACTTTAAGGCGCTGAGTTCTTATGTAGAAAACTTGGCAACCAGGAAGAAAGGGTAACTAACAACCACATTCTTGCTGGTTACTGGTTAGCTAAAACCAATAAAGTATAGACCTTGTTTGGAGATGGTCCTCAGCCTGTGTTCTTGTGATGACCAGACGTTCTTTATTGTCTTCAAGCTCAACTAGGATCTGACTGGGCCACTGGAAGACACAGGAGTTCAGCCTTAAGTCATCAGCTAGTGGAGAGATAGCAGAGGAAAAAAAAATAAGTATAAACATTCATTGTTTACGCAGATACGTCTTTTTTGTAAAATTTAGAGTTTGGAAAGTGTTTATACGGTTAGAAAAACCTACTAATACAGATCTCCAAAATGTTGAGCAACTCTGTAATATGTGAACAAATTAACAGCGCGCAATGCTTCGCATATCTCAAAAACCAATATTTTACAAAGAAAATATCTATTTCAAGAAAACATTAAAAGCACATTGACTTTGATTTGACTTTTCTTATTCACATTGTGAAAGTGTCAAAACTTTCACATTGGTATGTGCATAAAAATAAAGTTTATGAGTAATTTTGAAATATTTATTTTGCTGTGATTGAAAAGAATGATAATGCAGGGCATACGGGGCAGAGTGGCATAGTCCATGAGGAAGCTGAGGCGATAGGATGCTACTTCAATCTCATCTATCAGCTTGTGAATGGTTACATCCTTGGTCTTTTTAAGATATTGGTTGAGAGCAACCAACTTTTCTGTGGTCTCAGGTGTTTCTCGGACAGTTTCTGTTATGTCCTCATATTCTTGACAGATCCTGAAAAAAAAACACAATGAACAAATATTATTGATTGGTAATGAGTCTTCCAATTCCATTAATAAATTATTACAAAACATAGGTTTCCCCTCTACCCTTTGTTTATCGTGCGGTTCTCCTCCACTTCAAACGTGATAATCATGTCTTTCAGTGTCTTGGCACAGACGCAGAGGTGATCATTCAGGTCACCAGCATACAGGCAGAACATGGACAGGTCCACTGTGATGTGCAGCGACATGATCTCCTTCAATAAGCGATTGATGCTCTCTATTTCCTGAGAATTTGAACAGATTTGGAAACTTTGCGAAAACAAGCAGAGAGTAATATGAAACCAAAAACATTTCTCAAGCTTAAATGTCGGAGTTTAATTACTTCAGCTAATTCCTCTAATGAGTGCTTGTCTTTAAGGAATGCTGAAGTGTCCTGTTTTGCTGTATTATCCAATAGATTGCTGTACTTCTGATAAACATTGAGGTACCTGAAAGAAAAGAAGCATTAATATTATTTAGTTTACTCTGTATGTAACAATATAATTGAAAGTTCATGCATCATTACTTTTTGGGTCCCAATGTGTTCTTGTAGAAAACATCTTTGGCTTTGCTCACAAAGTTTCCAACTAATGATTCATCAGCCTGGACGGAGGGCAGGTACAAGTTCTTTATATCTGGAAAGAGGTTACACTCCACCTGGCCAAACAAAATATATCATATGATACTTCTGCATGTCGTATAATATTACAGCAAATGAACACAGCTTAAAGAGAAAATGATGGCAATGAGGTATTTTAGGTTTTCACCCTTGGAAGGTTTTCAGCACACTTGATGATCTCCAAGAAGGCCCTTTCAATGACCTCCCAGCATTCCTGAAAGCTGGGAATGAATTCAATGTGATGCTCCTTCACTTGTAGTTTAACCAGCAGCACCTGAGACTGAACGTATCTCAACTCATCAAACACCTCTCCAAAATCATTGCCCTCCTAGAAAAAACAAGCAGGAGGCTGCTGATGATGGCCCTTTACAGCATTACTACAGGTGAACTGCAGCACATACAACAGTTACTAAAAGTTACTACCTTATATGTCATGAAGAACTGAAGTAAATCCTCTAAGGAATCTATGACTAGACTTCGGAGGTGCAGTGACATGAGGGCTGCCACACAGTTAAAGAATTCCTGGACACCCTCCGTGGAAATCTGTGCATTCTTGGGCAGGTAGGGCAGCCACAGGTTCTCATAGGTGACAAAGAGTGATGCACAGAGAGGTAGCCACCTTAAAATAGAAGTAGTTAAGTTATATCTTGCCCATTATGTCGAGATTAACAGCAGAGCATACAGACATATATATCATACGGGCATTTGATAAAAGTGTGTATGTTTTTTCTGTCGTTACTTATCAATATTTCAGCCACTTATTTCTAAGGAAGAAAGTGGAAAGTGTATTTAAAGTTTACATTTTTGCAGAGAAGGTTGTGGATGAGGTGAATTCATTTTTTGCTCACTGACTAAACCAATACTTAAGGTAATCAGAAACAGAAAGAGCACTACATAATACTAATTATTATTCTTCATTCATTCCTGCTTACCTGACCTACTATACACGTAGAACGCTTTAATTAACATTCTAATTGAACAGAGGCATCCAAGCATGTGGAAATTGCAGACCGGAGCCAGTATCAACATGTTGCAAAGGGTCATATTTCTGTAACGTGCTCTCGGACAAGATGAAACATGAGTCTGAACATACTATGGGATTTACTTGCTTGGCTGTGTATCTAACATGGAAACGCACTACACTAATTAAGTCTGGACATCCGATTATGGGATCTGTCTGTCCAAACTGGCAATGCTCACGTTTGTACCAGTTCCTCTCTTGTCGCTTGGCACTGTGTCTTAACAAACTCTTCAAACTCAGACGCCAGGAGGGGGGGGTTGGCAGAGCAAAGGTCTTCCATTTTCACAAATCTCAAGGATGAAAAGCTGTAAGACGATAAAAGGCATTGAATTAGACTTTGGTTCCTTTTTCTTCTTACAAGTAATGCTTGAACTGGTTTTGTAGAGCTTAAATACATTTTAGAAGTCAAAATGGGGCAGAAATTGTAAATGCTTATGTTGTGCTTTCTTGTTAATTTTGATATTATGTTTTAAATCTTTTAATCTGAGCAGAATTAGCTGTGGATACTTCTTTTTTCCTGCTCACTCAATAATTTACAAGTCAGTTTCTTCACCAAATATAGGCCATTCAACTAGATTAATCTTTTAACAAACTGCAGATGTTCAGAAATTTCCCTTCAAATTTTTGTTTTCTACGAATCTATGCTGTTTTTGTTCATTTCTATTTTTCTAATGTAAGAACTGAACAACTTTAGAGCCACAAGCTTTTCTGAATGCATTACCTTTCTATCCAGACATCCTGCAGTAGGACCATAAAGGGACAGACAGTGAACAGATGCTGGCTTTGCCACATGCTGACTTCCTTAAAGGTAAGGTTCCAGGGTACTGGTGCACGAATCACCCTTCTGGGAAAAGGTTTAGGGATGCTGGATATGGACAGCCGCTGGCATTCAGACATGTCCATCAGAATGTAGTCCACTGGTCACACAAATGTATTTCAAATGCATGAATTCTTATTTGTATTGATAATATACAAAATAATTTTGCCAATAAATTAAGGTTAATGCAAAGAATATATATATATATATGTGTAAATACGGTGTGATCTAAGAATCATTGAAGAATCAGCTTTTTTATTTATTTACCTATGCTCTTCTTAAGACTGACAATATAATCTCCCTTGACTTCCTGTACCAAGTTATCCCTCAAACTGCGGATTTGTTTACTTGTATCCTCTGTTTCAGGAGGAACCAGCTGCAAAATGTTGAAAATCTGCTGGTGTGGCTGGGGGGCCAACACGGAGCTAGGAACCTCAGTCCTGATGTAGTACATGTACCTCTGTGTAAGCAAACACAACATATGTTAAAAAGAGAAGCCGCAAGATTTCTGAATCGGTGATTGAGCAGTTACGGTAAATTAGCTGAGGCTTCCCTCCAGGTCTGTGTCTGTAGGTTCATTCTGAATAGCTCTCATCTTCTCTTCTTGCTCCTGAATGATGTTGAGCTGCTCTTGGGGACTCGAAGGACGACTGATGGGGGTTTGTAATATTTTTGATTTATGATTTTCCTGAGATGAGATTGAAGCAGGTGATGTAGCCTCCCTGTAAACATACAAACAAATCAGATCTAGTGTTTCAGATCAAAGAACAAAATAAAAGGTAAGGAATTGCTGAAATATCTTGAAAGACTAATTACCTTTTTTTTGGTGTAACTGTTTGCCTTTTTCTAGGTGGAGAAACTGTTTACAGGATCATTAAGATAAAATAATATATTCTGAGAGGATTTAAAAGACCTTGCAAATATTGTAGATATGATTAATTATCGGAAGAAAAATAAAAGTTATTGGAACCTCAAATTTTTTCAGAAATTTTGAATGTTAGATGAACTTTAAAGGATACCACGCCCTGCTGCTTTTGCTGCAGACTTTCGAAAACTGCGTCTGTATTGGAGTTTACTAATCCTCAGGTGTTTGGCAGCAGGACTATAATTGTTTCCAATAGACTCACTGGGAGTTTGGTGGTGGTGCTGCTCTTTAAACGGAACCGCAAGAGTCCATGAACCTCTTTGCAGGATGGGTGGGTAATGACTGTGCCTCAACACTGTCTGATAAAATAACAAATACCATGGCAGAGTGAGGGTAATGAATGAGAAAAAGAGCCCGGCAAAAGTACTGCATGCGCTGACATTCTTACTCTGTATAATTCTGAGGGCTCAGCACTACACGCCACGGGCAAAGTCGGAGGAAAAGAAAAGTCCATGCTCTGGCTCATATTGAAGATGGAGTCGTCTTCCATCTGTAGCACAGACATTAACAATAAGAAAACACGTCTTATTCAATTAAATAACATTTTTTTCTCCATTGAATAAGAATATTAATTTAATAGCGGCACATTTTTATTCCAGAACGTCTTATCAATGAAAGCTATTCTCAAAGAAATGGCTCAACACATAAAGAGTTATGGGGGAGAAATATGAGTGACGGTTGGAAAGTTTCTGTTACCATGACAACAAAAGTGTTAAGATAAGTTTTTTCCCCCTGGCCCATTCCCTGACGCCAACTAACAACAAGGTGCTCTAATTTCAACCGAGTCACAACCGTCCTCAATTGCTTTTAAATTCTTACAGGTGCTGTAGACACCTAAAGGCAGGTCAACGACGGTTGGGGAAATCAGGCAAACAGGTATGATAAGGAACTGAACAAAAGTGTAATGTTACCTCATTGAGCCGCTCCATCTTTACAGCAAATGTAAAAGAGGGAAACACAAAAAATAAATGAGTATATGTGTGAAGATAGCTGAAGTTGCATTTTTATAAGTTTAAAGACTGAAAACCGAAATTACAGCGGTAGCGTGCGAGTTACCTTCTTCCGTTTGCTGCAACGTTACACGCGCAGGAAGTCTCACTGGCACCGGCTTCGTAGGTATTCCATGGAAAAACCCGGTTACCACACCTGAATCTGCCTCGTGTCAGTAGAAAACGACCATGTCAAGCTGCTTGGACTTTAGTCCTTGCCAAAGCCTCGCAGCAAAAGAGAAGTTACAACGTTGCTGTAAAGTGAAACAGTTGTTGTCATCGTAGAGGAACGTCTCCATGGAAACACCAATTAGCAATTTTTTTTCTCCTCTATTTCAGTCAGCACTTAAGGTAAACAATAAGTGCGGACTGAAAACGCCACGTATGCCAGTGAAACTGCCAGCATCATCGTGAATTTTTTATTTTTTTTTAAAGGCACGACTTATTCTAAACCCAAAAAGTATCCAGTTGCCTTCACCTGCTGACTGTGTGTGTCTGTGAGAATGGGTCTCTGGACTTTGAGGTTAGCAAAGTTAACACTTTGAGTGCAAAAGGGGTCAAATATGATAGTAAAATTAAATTGTATTTATGTTTTGTAATGCTAATAATATAAAAAACATAGTTTGGGGTGATGTGTTATTAAAATAGTCTGTAAACAATTTCACCTCGGAAAAATGCTAATGTGTTTTTCTTAAAAATATCACTTAAGTTAATATCGTTGCTTTTGAGCAATAATCAAATAAGAGTGAAGTTTTTCTCGAATTTGAACATCTGAACAGAAGGTCAAGCAGAGCTGGGGAGTCACATGGAATGAATGGGCGTGGTTTTTGCTCACTTGCAGCAGCGGTTGAGTGTCTGGCGGTCTGGCCAAGTAGTTGGTTTTAACTATTTTACAAATGGTAAGTTTTTGTGTCAGCTTTTTTTCATATAACACAGGACTATAGTTATAATGGCCAGGAAATCAGTCTTTGATGCGTACGGTGAGTTTATGTGTGTACAGGTGAAGCGTGGCGTTAACGATAAGCGTTAGCATAGCATAGCATAGCCGAGAAAAAAATTAAAATGGCGCACTACTCGGATGCTGCGAACGTTAGCTTAACTGGCAAGAATTTAGCCGCGGCAAGAGTTAGCATTCGACGGTCACAAATACGATTATCATGAGTTACATGTACCGTAGATTGTTGGGTTGATGTATTCAAGTACCCTTTGCCGCGTCATTTTCAGAGATTATTAATCCAAAAGGTTACTTAAGAAAACGCTAAAATGAGACTATTAGACAAAGGTCGTGACGCTTCTAAATCAGAGGTTTATTAATCTATTAGATTTTGTTGGTGTAGGTGAAATGTTGAACTTGCATAAAGGTTGCAAACAATAATTATTCAAAGAAATACTTTGATATATATGTATGTTTTTAGTCAGTCACGTGGCTATCATGTTGCCGTACCGCTTTAGCTAGCTAGTTCAAGTTCCGAACACGCTGGAGTTAGATTACTGACTTTATAGAGAGATACAATGCATTACTGTGTCCAATCTTTACTTACGGACGACAAAAATCTAAAATGTATAACATTTTTTATGTTGAGGATATCAACAAGCCCAGAACCATCTACCAGACTGTGCCCTCTTTGAAGTTGTCAAATGGATATATCCTACCAGAGGGGAAACTGACTCCCAATGCCCTCTTTGTTGGAGGGATTGACATGAAGGTAAGTCAGGCATTTGACATCAACACAGCAAAAGGAAGCAGGCCCCATGCTGGCTTCCTTTCACCATTTTGGGGAAAAATTTTGTGGACACTGGATAATTTAATTGGCTGTAAAGAAATCAAGTTTTACAGTCAAATTTACCTTTAAACTATTTCAGCACAAACTTATTTTATTTTTTAATCAAAATTTTTTTTAATAAAAAATTCTTAACCTTAAGGTTGATGAAAATGAAATCCGCGACTTCTTTGCAAGATACGGTGCTGTTAAAGAAGTAAAAATCATCACATACCGTGGAGGGATCTGCAAAGGGTGAGTTGTTTTTATGAAAGGTGATCAGGGGTTGATGTTAGATGTTAACAGTCCTTTGTTTCTACAAAGTTTTTTTTTTTTTTTCCTTTGAAATTATTTTTATGAGAAAGTGTTTGGTATTGAAAAAATGTTAAGTGTTTCTAAGTCAATAAATATATGTAGATTTTGATGGTGTGAATGTCAATGGAAGTAAATGATTGTATTATTGTCTTCTACCAGTTATGGATTTGTATACTTTAATGAAGATGTCAACATTCAGTCAATCATTGAGGTGAGTGGTGTCTTGCTTTGTGATTATTTGTCTGTCATGTGAACAACAAAGAATTATATTTTTTCAATATTGCTTCTTTCTCTTCTTTGTAAAGCAACAAATTAGCTTCAAAGGTCGGAAGCTCAAGCTGGGCCCTGCCATCATGAAAGAAAGGAGCCCACGTACGTCACGTTTTTTTTTCATCTTGTTGTAGTCTGTCTAATGAAGTTGAATCAGTTTGCTTGGTATTTCTGTCAGTGTATTCTTGAGGTGTTTGTGTATGTGTGTTTGTAATTCAGGCTCCATGGCATCCCGTCTAGTTGGACCAACTCCATGGATGAGTCCCACTCAGTATATTTACTGTGCTTGCTGCTCCCCCATGGCAAGTGGGGTGACACAGCCCTCACCCATAATCAGTGGAGGAAGTCCATACAATCAGGTAATGGGCACACGGTCAAGTAGTGAGGAATGGTGGTGGTCAAGCCAAAGAAAATCCAAGTAAATCTTTGCTTTTTCTGTGTTGGGGAACGCTCTGCATCTCAGTCAGGTGGAGAATAATCTTTGACTTTTTAATTTTTTTACTGGGAATAACAGACAAAAGTAAAGTGTCTTCACTTGGCTGCAGCTGGTGTTTTAATTGGGCAATGCTGGTTGTGAACAGCCTTTTCTCACACTTGAATCTGACAGGAACAGATTTCTTTAATTTAAAAAAATGATTGTGCTTTAAAAAAAAAATAATAATGTTTTTTTGTTTGTTTACAGCCTTATTCTTACACCAACTTTGGAAGTGTCGTGGTTCCACAGATGCCGATCAACTATGCACAGAATCCCTACACTTACCAGGTACCTCATCATACATACACACCTTTATCAGTATGATCCTCTGGGGGTCACCGGCACAGCACATCCACGCCTGCGTGTAGGATGAGGTTTCAGGCTGTTCCAGGCCCACCTCATGCCTGCCAGGGCCTATAAATCCATCCACCCCATCCTTAATTGAGAAACAAGTCTGGAAGTTCCCTATTTGACAGCTGATCCCTTCATCTCCCCCCCACATGCAGTACACCCCTCCTGCCTGGACCGCAGACCAGAGGACACGGCCTGTCAATCAGGTGATTGGGCATTCACATCCTTGTAGAGCAAAGTTATATTCAAGCAGCACTGAATAATTTCCCTTTGAGATTTATGGAATATTTATTAAAATATGTGTCATTATATTGGAAATACTAATAATTCATTAATTTTTTAATATTGAAATAGATTTTCAGTTTTACTTAGGACTGTAGTATTCAAACCCCACCACTAGATGGCAGGCTAGTGTAACATCTCAAAGAATGACTTAAAATCAATTTGATCTTATTCCAATTCCTTACACATTTAGGTTTTTAATTTAAATGTATGCAGCCCCTTTTGATTCTAACATGCTGATTTTATGATGTCGTTTGCTGTTGTCAGAGCTTTGTGGACTGTGGAGTCCAGACGATGCTTACTGTGCTGTAGTCCACAGCTGCAGAGCCCACTGACAGGTAAACCCTGTCTGTCTTATGGAGGTGTGCTGGTGTACTGTTGAGTAAACTACTCTTACTGTTCAGTAAACCTCTTGTTTGGTTCTATTTGAACAGTAAATCTGCAGTAGCCGTTATCTGAACGTGTGCTTTGAAAAAGGCAAATATTTTCTCTGCCTGTTACCTGATTTCTTTTCCATCCCGTATTGCAGACCGCCGTGGCCTCATCAAGTCCGAAATGGAAACAAGACGACATCTTGATGGTTCCGAATTTCTGGAAGCAGCTTTAACTCTTCACGGTGTTCCCAGAATGCCCTCGCCTTTCTTCTTCAGCCTCAAATCTTTTGAGAGCCATTTTAACCCCAGACTGCGTGAGCTTTCCACTTTAACCGATCCCGGCCACCTCGGCCGTGACTGGCGAGGTTGATCCGTGGTCGGCCGCTTTTAATTCACATGGATCACAGTGACCACCGCACAGAGAGAGGGGCGCACCATGAGTGTACCAGCTAACGCACGGGATCACATTCTTCAGTCTGTTTTTCTTTTGGTTCTCTTTGTTTACCGTCCCTAACAAAAGATGGAAAGACTTTTAAGCTTAATCTCTGTGCTTATTTATGTTTTATTTATATACATTTTTTGGGTTATTTTAAATGTTTGTTTGGGGGTTTTAGCCTCTTTCTTTTCCTTGGATGCCACCAAAGCAGATGATAGGAAGTATTTCCTTAGCACCTCACCAGTTGGAGTCATTTCTGCTTTTCAACTTTTCCTGGAGTTCACAGTCAAGGTCAATCACGATATAGATTTTATTTGCCACCCGTCATTAATCAACTGCTGTATTTCAAGCAAAGGAATTGGAAAATGAAAAGATTTGTTAGGGAGTAGCATTCCGTGTTACCCCCTCTATTAACTTCTCACGGTTCGTCGTTCAGTGTTCTGGGTTTTTATCGGAAACAGGGAGTCTTCCACTAAAGGGTTTTTATAGATATTTCACAAGTGAGTGCACTTGATGTGTCTTCAGTTCAATTTTCAGAGTCAGCTGGAGGTGTTTGGGGGGGGGGTGTACACCATGCGTGTGGTATGCATCACATTTTCTTTGACTCGCTTTGGCGGTACGGACGTTGACCCTGAGGTCAGCTGTGCTCCGGCACACGCGTGTTGCTTTGTTCAGAGAGGCTTCTGCACCGTTTGCTGTTCGTTGATTTTCCTGTTTGGTAGGGTTTGGATGTTTTTCGTTAAATAATAATAAAAGTTGAATTTATTATCATAGTTGTGTTTTTTTTTTTTTCCCATGCCAGGAAAGCTTTTATTCGAGTTGACGTGCACGGAAAGCGTGAAGACGTGTAGCCCCCCCCAGCCCCCCCGTGCCTGTCACCGGGCGCCGCTTATCAGTCAGGGTTGGATGGCGCGTCCTGCCTGGCAACAGGCCCATCGGCATTCGGCCATGGAGCGTTTTGTTTTTCTGTCACAGTCTTATGGTGTGACTAGGCTCCCCTGAGTGCCCTTTCCAGCCCTTGACCCCCCCACTCCCCTGTCAGACATTTCTGAATTATGAATAAGTCTGGATAGCTGCCTATGAAATATGAATTTTCTTAAGGAGACCCTCGAAGAAGTCTAGAAGCACTTAACAACTGCTAACTTCGCTCATAGACTGTTTTCTGCTGATACTAATTGAGGCAGAAAAACAGGAATAAACTTTTCTCCACAGTTTCGGGGGGGTTGGTTTGTTTTTTTGTTTGTTTGTTTGTTCAGGATCACTTAAAGCTAATTAATTTTTTTCCCTAAGTAGCGAATAGGATTCAGATAATTCTCTCCCCCCTCCACCCTTTTGATTGTTTGATCCGAGCAGAGCAACGAGAGGAGGGCGAGAGGAGAGACCCACCTCTCCTCTCCTCCCTCATTAACGCCAGCTGCGCGGAGAGCTGAGCGCGAGCTTCACTCTCTGTGTTGGTTCCTGCACGAAGGGGTCTCGATGTTTCCCTCTCATTGGATCGCTGGGTCTGTCAGAGTCTTTCTCGGCAACAGACGTGAGGAGGAGGACAGACGGTGAGGACCTCAGACGGACGGGAGGGACGCGCCGAGCCTGAGGGGAGCCCGCAGCCCTCCTTCCACGCACCAGACCGGGACCGTCGTCACGGGTGAGTGGGCCCTAACTGCCTTTACTTGGTGTGAGGAAAGGGGAAATTATCAGGTGTGAATAAACCCCCCCCCCCCATTTGATCAGAAGATGATTCTCTGGGGAAGGGAACGGACACAAGAATGAAATGCTTCGCACTTGTCGTGTTTTCAAAGACTTTTTCTTCGTTGTCGTGACTTTTGTCACCGTGGAACAGTCAGTGGATTCGACAGTGTTTGAAAACAACTTTTCAAAAACGGCTGAACGAGCTGCGTCAGGAGAACCCCACTCAGGATAAATATCAGAAGTCAGCCTCAGAAAAACCGGGGGGTTCGAGCCTCGAGCTTCTTTGATTTAGCGTATTTTTTTTTTAGTCGTCCAATTCCAACCGGACGAGTTGGCCCCTCCGCCAGCTGTCACGCGGCCGGAGTGAGCTCAAGATGTGCGCGCGGACGGAAGCTCGGGGCGCGAGGGCGCGAGCGCTGGGGTTCGAGGAGGACGCGGTGCGCCAGAGAGGCTGTCATGTGTGTCACTCCCCGTCCGCACGCGGGCAGCGCCGGCCACGTGCTCCCAAGGCGAGCTGCGGAAGGGGGAGCGCGCGCGCGCTCCGGCTCTCTGTAGAGGTTGAAGGCACCGACTCGAGGGTCGAAAAGGGGGGTAGACCAGAAACGTGTAATTTCAAGCAAGGCTGCCCCCACAAAATGTGTGGAGTGTCGGTGTGTCACGTGCCTCTGAATGGCTGCTCGACTTGTAGCTTTAAATCTGCATGGGGAGTAACATTTATTTTAAAAAAGGCAGATGCTGAGTGAGATCCTCTTTTATCATGCTCCTGACATTTTTCTATCCCCCGTAATCGAGACTAATATGTTAAGAATCAACCTCAGGGGTTTAGGAAATTGATGCTCCTGTCTAAATATTTTTTTCTTCTTCATAAACTCTTCTTTTAAATGAAAAAAGGGTGTGCACAAAGCTGTGAGACAGACCATACATCAACGTCATCATTAGTTTTTCTCCTCCCTGAGCAGCCTCATTAAAACACATTTGAGGTGACTACTTTGTTGCCTGGAGGAGTCGCACCTCCCAGCAGGCGACTCCACACTCTCCCACTCTGCTCCCTCTCTCCGTCTCTCCCCATTTTCCTCCTCATTCCTCATTCCTCACGTCTCTCTCCTCATTCTATTCCCGCTCTCTCCTTCTCCCCCTCTTGATCATCAGCAGCATCCTCCATTGGAAACTCGGCGCGAGCCAGCGGGAGGCAGCTCTGCTCCACAGGAACCGGTCTGTCGCCTCTTAATTCAAAACAATTCAGCGAGATACTGTACATGTGGTGGAGATACAATAGCCCAGAATAGGTACTTCCCTAAAGCAAGCCCTTGAAGAAGCACAACATGCTGTCGACGCGTCCAAAATACCCTCAAGTGATTTAAAGTTCTGATGCTATCTCTTTGAAAATTAACGCCTTCGAATAAGCACCTAAATCCAGCAGTCAGTTTTTGTTCCCATTCGATCAGTTATCTGTTTTAGGCACTTTAACATAACCTAAATATATTCCACGCAGCAAATACAAAGCTTAAAACTTTCCTATTCATCTGATTCAGTAGTTTTAGGGAGAAGTAGAGCAAAAAAAAAAGATTAGAGCCATGTAGTCGCTGCTGGTGGTTCCGGATAAAAAATAGACTATATTTCATGCACAGCTGAAACGCTAAAGCAGTCGGTGTAGGCAAGTTTTAGCCAGGTGAGCCAAGAAAACCACACTCAGTACTATAATTTCCCGTGACCTCACGAAACGTCTCAACCAATGCTGTCTCGTCCTCAGAGCCATTCGTCGCATTCATCGCTGCTCCGATTTGGCCCTCAAAGAAGTCATGAAGGAGACGTCTTAAACAACAGCGTTCATGAGTTCAGACCAGCAAGCAGAAAACACGAAAACCAGCCTGTGTTGGCTGGACTATCGTCCACTCGTAGATGGTGAAGAACTTGCCTATTTTTTTTTTGTTCCTGTGGAGATGAGCTGCAAGTTGGAGCTCTGCGGGTGTCAAACCATCTGTTGCAGGGTTCCTGCGTCTGTTGTTGCTGAAGGGACAGTTCTACCCCTCCCTAACGTATAACGGAGGGGAATTAAGAGAAATTTACAAAACTGAACGTTTGTGTTTTTCTTCTCAGAACAAAACGGCCGTTATCTCCAAGTAAATAAAGGGATTTCAGCACTCTTGAATAGAATTAAGTAGATATAACTGTAACAAGCTCTAACTGGAAGTTCAGCTCTCATTGGGCTGGTTTCATCATAAGATGTTGCTCAAAGTTCAGCAAAGATCAGAAATAGGGTTATCTTAATTCTTTGTTTTTTGGCGGGGTTTTTTGGTATTTTTTCCATGTTTTTAGCCTGTCTGCATGCATCCATGTGTGTCTTGCCTGTAGTGATTCCATCCCGCATTCCCAGTGAATTTTCCCCAGCCGGTGCGTGCCCGCAGCCCTCCCCGAGCGGCAGACGAACGGCGCCGCTCCTGGCAGAGCGGGCGTCCCCCGAGCGTCTGGGAGGCAGCGGAGCGGTGGCACACATCAGGCAGATCATCCGCCGTCATCTCAAAAGACGCTCGCTTACAAGAGACTCTCTTAACGAGAAGCCCTCCGCTACTCCCCGTCCGTCGCCTCTCTGTTCTCTCTCTTACAGTCCTTTTATCCATCGCTCCCCGTTCGTCGAAGGGCTTCATTTCGCCGCCTGGGCCTTTTTCTGACTGCGGTTTTGTGCGACAGCATGCGTACGATTCTGTTTGAAGTCAGCTCACAGAGAAAGAGAAAAAGGCCTCGTACGCAGCGAAAAGGCCTCCAGTCTTGGGCTCGGTCGAGTTGTCTCCAGCTACCTTTTTTCATTTCAGTGTTGTGTCCAATTACACGTGTGTGTGTGTGTGTTTCTAAACCGCAGCGACAGAGTTCATCTACTCTAGCAACCTTTTGTTTTGAAACTGAGCCGTCAGCATACCGTTAGAGGGATAACGCAGCGGATGGATCAAACGGAAGAGCAGCTGGCTCGTCAGGACTAAGAGTGGAACTAATCGCGCTTAATTTGACAGCGACAAAACCAAGCGCCAGTGGCAAATGTTTCAATCAAAATCCTCAGGATTTGTAGCGGCCCATTTGAAAAACAGAGCACAGCAGGGTTGCGATTCAATGCTTTAAAACGTTGATGCCCCTCTTCAAAATGGGAATATAATATACAAAAATTAAAGTTAGGAAGTGGATCCAAGCAACAACTTTTGCTTGACCCTTACACCACAACCCCTAAACCAAGCAAAGATCCCCACGTTCCACCTGTGTCCCTTTCGCTAATGACTCATATTTGCGAATTGCTCTTGAGAAAAAAAAAAACATTGGGAGTGGATCTACATGCTATAAGTTATAACCTGAGTTTTGCTGTTCGGCTGTCTGTGTGTCTGACTGGATATCATGTAAAGGTTTTATGGGCCTAAACGAGCTCAGCAGGAGGGAATATCCACCGAGCCAGCAGACAGAAGGCCCTGTGGAGGGAAACGGTCGACGGACTGAGAACGCAACGATATTGTACAAGTACGAGAAGCCACCCCGCCTCCTCGGCCAGAATAGAAGACGGAATGGCTGCACGGGGGGGGTGCATATGTGCCGTTGCTCTAAGCAGAGCAGTGGGAAGGCAGCTGAGCCAACAGGTGACCGTAAGCCTACCCAATTTACCGATAAGACTGACAGGTGTGGACACAGTCGGCCGGACATTCCATCCTCCAGTTTAGCCCTTTAGGCTCGTCCGTAACTGGGAGCCATCGCTCCTCTGTTTTGTAACGAGCCCGTCCAGGTCGCAGTAAGTTTTACGTAAAAAGGGTTTAAAAACCCGAAAACGGAAGGAAAGTTGGGAAACTTGAGGCTGGGTGAATAGAAGATCAGAGGGGATGAGAATGAACTGGCGCCAAAGTACAGGGGACAGGGTTGAAGCCTTGCAATCAGGTGGACATAAAGAGTAATCAAAGGCCATTGTACCAACAAAATGTGGTGACGGGTCCTAATCAGAGACGGAGGATGGAAGCGGCAAAGAGCTACAAAAAGAAAACCGACGATTAAGAAGGGTGGAAGGCAAGTTGGGCTTAGAAAAGCCTGAACACGACCAGCTGAAGGGTTAAC